CTTTCTCTCACATTAAGTGAAATTAATTGGTCTTTTCAATGATATGGGATTCTTCTAGTTCTTCTAGGAGAAAATGGATTTTTAGGAGGTGTCTGAGTGAAGAAAGTGAGGGGGAATCTGGCATGCTGGTAGTAGGGTGTTCTAGGCATAGGGATAGTATGGATGAAAACCTCAGGATGAGCTGAGGATATGAAGGTGGGGGCGGGTGTGAAGGTGGCATCCTTGTTGGAGCAAGAGAGAGCATAATCAGATTAAAGATGTAGGTGGAAGTGGAGTTCACACTGAATGGTTTTGCATATTGAACTTGTAAAAATGAAGTATGTGAAATGGCATTGTAGAAATAATGCTTCTTTAGATATATGGAGTAGAACTGGGCAGATAACTGACTTTTAGTTCACTTACAGCAGTAAAAAAAAAAAAAAAAAAGGAAAAATCAGTTTTGGCTTGAACCAAATCTGAAAATTAATTTAAAAAAAAATTTTTTTTTTTTGAGAAATTGAAAATGCATTTTTTTGGTTTGAATGAAACAGTTGTTTATATCACGGACACCATTCTACCAGAGGGGTGTGTGTGTGTGTGGGTCCTCTTGATTATTTCACAGAATCAGGTAGTAGGAGAGAAAAATGTCCTAAAAGAACATTTATTTGAACATAAACCTCTATCCTGATATAACGCAACCCAATATAACACTGGTTCACATACAACATGGTAAAGCAGCGCTCTGGAGGCGGGGCTGCTTTAATAACGAAAATGCTTGAGGCCAAAGCAAGTTCCATATAATGCAGTTTCACCTATAACGCGGTAAGATTTTTTTGGCTCCCGAGGACAGCGTTGTATCGGGGTAGAGGTGTATATGGGGCGATTAGAAGGAGAAAGAGCAGTTAGGACAAACACACTAGGTGCTACCTAATTTAAAAAAAAAATGGAAAAGCGTTCAGGAAAGGAGTGTGGACAAGGGTGCAATACTAGACATGATTGCATTTATGATTGGTGCCTAGATCCTATGATGATAGGTGCATTTGAAATGCCTAATACAGATAACTAGGAAGACCAGAAGGCTTTTAGAACAATTCATGGTGAAATACTCAACTGCCTTGGCAAGCTAAGCCAGTGAATTTGGTGAAAAGTTACAGATCCAGGATCAGGGGATTTGACAGCTAGAGTGCCACAGGGGTGATGTTCACATGATCTGTTGATGATTTGGAAGAATTGCTCAGATGTCATGAGTGGGAATGCCAACTAATACCAATAATAGGTAGATGAGATTTAGGTTGTGAGCTAGCAAGTGGATTTAACATTTACTTTAAACATTTTGTTCTAGTTTTTGGCCAAGAAACTAAAATATTTCATTGAAAATTGAGATGATAGTAGCAAACATTTGCCAGGAATAAGTTTATTTTTACAATGTGGTCTTTATACAATGCAAGATCTAATTTAAAATTAGATCACTGGTTGAGCATTCTCAAGAATGAAAATAGAATTCTTTCAGGTTTCATTGCACTTCAGGAATTCCCATCTGATCTTCTGAAACTGAGATCTAGAAGAATGTATGGTAATAGTATAGTGTTATAAAAATGATTGGTCTGATACAACAATATGTTAGTGTGCTAGGTGCTGACCAGGGAAGGTCTCCTCTTATGCTAATAGCTAACAAACTGAACTAGTAGTTATGTTTCTGGCAACAAATATAGGGATGAAATGGATATTGACACATTAATAAGAGAACAAATCCACAGAGATCACTGTGGTTCTGTACAAAAGTCTAAGGAGACCACACCTGGAGCATTATGCACAACTTTGGATTGTGTAGTATGGGAGGGGTGTTGAATTATTAGAATTGGAAACAACCCAGAAGGTGATAGCAAGGAATGATAAAGGGCTTTCGGGATTATATAAGTAGAGAACTTGAGTTTTTCTAAACTCTTTAGTTCTGTTCATTAATAACATGAACACAACATGCCAGGTTATGTCCCCTCTGAAACAACTGTAAACATGACATTGGGTGATCTAACTGTGCAGTACAGTAAGAGCTAAATTATGCAGTGTTGCAGAGCTGAGTTGTGTGACAAAATAATTTCAATTTCAGTGAAATTCTAAAAAATTCACACAATGAAAATAGACGGAGGCCTGGGTAAGGAGGAGGCAGCATCTGGCATCCTTAAGGGATGCAAGGGGGGAGCTTTACTCCTGTACTACTTACAGATTTCTGTCTTAGTGAAAAGAAGAATAATAGTTGGGGTGGGGACAAATTATACGGCCATGTAATCATGGCAGACATTGGGTTGTTGGCTCTAGCAGGCATGGTATATGTACAAACACTAAATGGATGGCCTCTGAGGTGCATGCCTTCCTACTATCCTGAAACTTTACCATGCATTTTGCAGTACTTCTGCGATAATGTGGGTTGAGATGTTGGTTCGTGTTTTCAGACAACTCTGATTTTTTTTTCTTGCTTTTTGTTTTATTTTGAATAAATGGTCTGACACACTTCTTAGTGGTTTTAAACATAGTGGATATTTATGTGACTGAAATAGAGAACAGAATAGTTTAGTCAGACTTCTTTATTTAGCATTTATAAAGTGGTGGCACTACCAGACTGGATCCTATTGTGCTATGTAAACGTGCAAGGGGGTGAATTTATGAATTTGCCAGAGCGCCAGTTAGATTTTAAAGCTAAGGACTAACAAACTACATTTGCCGGTATATAATAGAATCCAGTAGGCTGACCCCTTATTTATTGTGTCCAGAGACTGTTAGCTTACTAGTTCTAATACTGGGTTCTTTTAAAATCAACTTTTAACTTGTACAGTATTTCTCAAATCAGGACACTTGCTTATTCTTAACCAGCCAGCAATTATTCCACCAGAACAACATTTAATATATCAACAGTTACTACTCAAATGTAGATACAACCAATTGTGTGTATTACACACATACTATAAAATTGTGCAAGCAATTCTCATAGACTAGAGTTGAGGCTTAGCAGTCATATCAAAGAATAATGGACATTACTAAGATTTATTATTACATTTACTCGGGGGGAGGGATAGCTCAGTGGTTTGAGCATTGGCCTGCTAAACCCAGGGTTGTGAGCTCAATCCTTGAGGGGGCCATTTAGGGATCTCGGGCAGAAATTGGGGATTGGTCCTCCTTTAAGCAGGGGATTGGACTAGATGACCTCATGAGGTCTCTTCCAACCCTGATATTCTATGATAATCCATTCTCAATACTTTAGTGCCTGACGCAATTATCACACTTCCAGGGTGGCACTTGTTTTTAAGGCACTTTGAAGAGTGTAGTTAGTACAGTTTGAATGGATCGGTCTCAAAAGGAGAAATTTAGAATATTAAAAGCAGTTGCTTAAAACAGTTTTTTCAGGCCAATTTGCTTGGATTAATAAGGGAGTTAAAATCTAAAATATGGTTACTTGAGGTCTCACTAGAGAGTGGAGACTCGGCAAGATAACCTAGTTATTTGTATTTCCTCTTCTATTATGTAATAATCTTTGAATACTTCTTATCCTCTTAACTTTGGGATTGGGGAGAGTCCTTTCCACACAGTTGGTCCAGGTGTCTGTCACGCTCAGGATTCTTCAGCTTGTTGGGTTCAGTCAATTCTCATGAGCATGTGGTGACTTCAGTTTATATACCTAGTTTCAGGACTTGTAGGAAGGGGCCACCCTCTTATTCCCATTGGACATATGCCAAGTGAGTGCTTAGATTTTAGCTCTTTCAGTTTTTGTTGCTTTCATCAGTATCCAATAGATGGTGATGGTATATAACTAATTTCTTTAATCCTTTCCTTATCGGAGGTTTTTTAAGTTCGATTTGTTTCAAGGATTGTATTTCATTATTCGCTCCTGCTATCAACTAGGATCCTCTCCTTTAAGCAATTTCTCTTAATATCCTAAGTTATACACTGGTTTATATTTTTTTTATATTTTTTTCCTTGTGTCAGACAATTCCTATTACTTCTGGAGTGCAACAGTTGTTTACAATGAAACCAACAAAATCCTCAATCTTTTAAATTTGGAGGACATACTCCATACAGCAGTTTACATTGTATTGGACTTGCTATAGAACAAGAGACATTTTTCACATATAGAAGGATGTAGATCTGACTCGCAAGGCAAACAAATGGGCAGGTTCTGGTATGGGGTGAAAGATTATTTACAGTATATTTGAGTTACAAAGAAAGCAATATATAGGTTGGGGTGAACATTTTGCTTGGATTTCTTGGTTATAACAGTTATTTTGTTCAATTTGACCTTCAGTCTTACAGCAACATTTCTAATTTGCTTGACATGCATCTTCCCCAACCGTTTCTTGATCCACTGATAATGTGCAATGGGTCTCTTTGCATAAGAAGACAGCATATCACCCTTACATGGTAACTTGGAGTTCTTTTTAGGTAGGTTGGGAAGGAGAAAGAGAGGTTTTATCCATATACAAATTATGAGAGATTCTTGCCTAGATGTAACAATATTCTCATTTAATAATTTTAATTGGAATTACGGACTTTGACTGTGGGTCCTTAGACAAAGTGTCTCACATGATGTGAACCATTTTCTTATTGTCTTCCTAGGTGGATCTTATTTTGGGATAAACAGTGGTGGATAGCTTTTCCAATTTTTAAGGGCCAGAAGGAATCAGTAGTTACTAATCAATCAAGACATATTTGTTCCGTATATCCCTTGCAGCTAGGCTCTGTTTGCAGGATCAGGGTAATCCATTTGGACAGATTATATGGATCTGTAAATTTTGAAACTAATTAGTTTAAGTGAAAACTACAGCTTCAAGTTTTGCACTACTTTTTGTAAAATAGAGCAAAGTACTAGTTGCAAAAATGATACTTCTGGAGACTCACCTAGCAGAATATTACATCTTGTGCTTTTTGACATCTCCATAAATGTAACTGTAACTGAATAAGTAGTTATGGTGTTTGTTCTTGTATGTCTTTTAATTGACAAGTGGTGTTTTTTGTTTTTGGTTTTTTTACAGAGCTAAAATTATCAGTATTTGATGATTGTAGGAAGGAAGAAGAATGGAAGGTATATTTCATTTTGCTTTTTGTTACACTTTAGAATTACTTAAAGCATATTCTGTTTCATTAAATACACTATTTCTTAGCTTGCTTGAAATTTCTTCGCAACACTTTCATTAAATGACCCGTAGTAGATGGACAAATGGATATGTCTTCTGGTTTCCTAGTGATGTAAAAAAAGACCTGAAAGGTGATTCTGTTGGTTTTTAAACTTTAGAAATTCAGGTCTTGTCTTACTCTATTTTCCTGAAAGACACAACAGCCTCCTCACTCATGTCTCTGTAACTTTCCATTGATTGATTTCCAATGGTGGGAATGGTGTGTTGGCTTTATATAGTATGCTTATGCTGCAGTTAAAACCCCCCAGCTGGCCTGTGTCAGCTCACTTGGGCTCAGGGTAAGGGGCTGTTTAATTGTGGTGCAGAAGTTTGGGCTTGGACTGCAGCTCGAGTTCTGAGACCTTCCCACCTTTCAGGGTCCTAGAGCCTGGTATCCAGCCTGAGCCCGAACATCTACACCACAATTCAACAACTCCTTAGCCCAAGCCCTATGAGTCTAAGTCAATTGGCACAAGCCAGACACTGGTTTTTAATTGCAGTGTAGACATACTCTTTAAGTCTGTTGTGTGTATCTGTTTTGAGCAGGGTTAGATAATATGGTGCTTTAAATGCTGGCAGCAGTCTAGATCCTTGTGTACATTAATATGTCTATCATCAGTGGGACTGTACTGGTGGTAGCTTTGTTGGGATATTTTTGGCAAAAAGTCTAGTGTCTTTTATTCCCTATGACAAGTTTATAACTGATAGGATTGACATTGGAGATTGACTGGGAGTTAGAAATTATTTTTATTTAGCCTATTAACACAATCTAATTTAAAAAAAAAAAAAACCTTTTCAGGTTTTTTTATATTTAATATGGAAGTTAGACCCAAATGCAAATTCTTCCTTTTAAAAACTGGTAAAACAGTAAATCCTTTGGGGTTGGGTCATGTCTATTTGAAAACAGCCTCTACAATGTCCCATAAGCTAATACTTTTTATTTAGAATTTGAGGGATTTTTTTTAAATCACAAAAAAAATCAGGGTTATTATACAGACAGTAAAAATGCTCCCCTTGTGGCTATGCAGCTGTTCTTGTCATGAAAAAAGATCTGTAGAATAAAATTTGCCCAGGCAGATCGGGAGAGGAAGCTTAAAATAATTCAGGATAAACTGATCTGAAGAGGAAAGTTTTACACTAAACCAAATGTAATGAAACAGCCACTGCAGGACTCAAACAGATTTTCTGACATAGCAAATTCTGCAGATAGCTCTCTGAGCCACAAAGTTCTCAACCCAAGCAAGATGAAAGTTTGGAATGTTGAGTAAGACCAGCCAGGCTGATCTCAACTGTCATGGAAGACCTATGATGAGAAATGGTTAGAGTATTTTAGGCACAAATTGGGAGTTTAATGGCCTACTGTACCCTTTTTATATTTATATATGTTGCTTTGCAAAATCCATGTTACTTTTAACTCCTTAAAATAAAAATCGCAACCTTGCAGTAATAAAGTGAGCGATTGGGGAAAATAAATTGGTAAGAAAATAAATTTCAGTTTCAAGCTTCCACAGCTGCTTATCAATGAAAGAGAATCAGAAACATGAAATATACCTTGTCTTACAGTAACTGTAGCTGATTCTGAATTATTTGTCTAAATGCTGCTTCATTTGTTTTTATACTTAGATAATTATTTTAGACGACTTTACCACTAAACTACTGTCGTCATGTGGCAAAATGACTGATTTACTGGCAGAAGGCATTACTGGTAAGTGTAAAATAGTTGTTAAAGGTGCTTTTTTTTTAAAATCTGGGGCAGATGAAAATGTTGGGTTAATAAATAAGGCTACGTTTTAGTCACAGGTATTTTTAGTAAAAGTCATGGACCGTTAACAGAAATTCACTGCTGGTCACATGTCCATGACTTTTACTAAAAATACCCATGACTAAAACATGGGTAGGGACTGTGGGTGTTCCGCGGCATGGGGGGCAGGGGCACTGCAGGTGCTGGGGGAGGTGGCTTGCAGGAAGGGGCTGGGCAGCATGGGGGGTAGGGGGGGGCAAGCAGCATGGTCTGGGACCCCCACTGTTGCTGGCGGAGGGCCCAGAACCCTGCTGTTCCTGGGTGGGGGGGGAGAGGGTTGGCGGGGCTGGCAGGGGCTCCCTTCCCAGCTCTGCATCCTAGGTGGCAGAGGGGTCAGGGGGCAGCTCTTAGGTGGCGGAGGGGTCAGGGTGCTTTGCGCCCCGCTTCCGCCACAAGCGCTGCCTGCCGCAGTTCCCATTAGTCGGGAACCACAGCCAATGGGAGCTGTGGGGGTTGGGCCTGTGGGTGTGAGCAGCGTGTGGCGCAGCGCTCGCCCTTTGCTGCTTAGGAGCTGCAGGGCTGTGGGAGCTGGGGAGCCCCCTTCCCTAGCCTCCCACTCACCCAAACTGCTTCTGCTGGCCCAGGGGCTGCCTGGCTTGGGCAGCCCCTGAGCCAGCACCAGCGGCTGCAGAAGTCACAACGGTCACGGAATCTCTGACCTCCAGACAGACTCACAGCCTTACTAATAAATATATGCACTGTAGATGGTATTACTATTATAAATGAGAAAAAGGTCAGGACTGTTTCTTTATTTACTTGTTTACTATTCCATGGTTTGTTAATTGCAAGCCTGAAAAATACCATTTAATGCTGCTTTCTTGAAAGAACCTTGCAGCACTGGTGTTGCAAAGTGGCATGTAGGCACGTATAATATTTGCAAATGCAGAAACTGGTCTGCCATAGCTGACTGGCTGTTTACTATTGAAACTCTATGCTGTCAGTTCAGAGATGTGCCCTTTGCCTGTCTGCTGTCCTTAAAATCTGATATGTTTGAACCAATTTGAAGGTCCAGTGTAGAAAGACTTGCTTGAAAGAACTTTACAGTCGGCTATTAACTTTTCTTCACTTGGAGACTTCGCTTTTGGACGAAGTCTTCTTCAGTGTTTTTCATGCTATATAAGTGATTAGACGCTCCCCTGTACTTTCAGGGAAGCATCAAATCCAGTATGTGGTCAGACACAAGACGAACTTCTTGAGAATATCTGTCTGTCTTTTCAGATGTAGTTAGCTCAGTGAAAATGTGTTTAGTGTAGTGGTGATCAAAAAGAAACAAAGCATTAGAATGTATGAAGAACAGGATATAGTATTCTCAGCATTTTCTAACCCCACATATACATCAATGGAATGCCCTCATCTTGAATCCTGTATCCAGTCTTGAGAAAGCAGAAATAGAAGAGGCCCAGAGAAGGGAAACCAAAATTGCTGAAGGCATGGAAAGACTTTCCTATGGAAAAGACTGAATCTGAATCCTTCCCATGCCGCCAGACATTGTTTAAGGTGTGGACAAGGCTCTGCAAGCCCTGTCCATCGTGCCACTAGAGTAGAACCTCAGAGTTATGAATACCAGAGTTACGAACTGACCGGTCAACTACACACCTCATTTGGAACCAGAAGTATGCAATCAGGCAGCAGCAGAAACCCAAAAAAATGCCCAGGAAGGATATTACTGTGTTAAATGTAAACTACTAAAAAAAAAAAGAAAAGAGAACTTTTTGTGCTTGCTTCATTTAAAGGAAGGCTAAAAAGTGCATTTTTCTTCTGGGTAGTAAAGTTTTAAAGCTGTATAAAATCAATGGTCAGTTGTAAATTTTTGAAAGAACACCCATAATGTTTTGTTTGGAGTTACGAACATTTTCAGAGTTATTGAACAACTTTAATTTTCAAGATTTTTGTAACTCTGAGGTTCTACTGTACTCCAAATATTTGGTTGTGTTTCTATAACTTTTGTACAAAGATGGGTTGTTGTTCCATTGCTCAGCCAAACACTGGAGGACCAGTACGCTGCTTTTACTCTGATCCCTACACTTTGACCTGTACAATTTGCGTGGCCCTATCAGTAGTTAAAACTCCTGCAAGCGTAGCTGTCAGGGTCACTGGAACACACAAGCCTTCCCTCTGTATCAAGGTGCAGTCTCCAGGGAAGGATAGAAAGACTAAGAACTGTTTAAGTTTATAGTGGAGAGAAGAGGAGACATGATAGCTATGAATAAAATAATGAATGATATAGAGAACGAAGGGACGTTCAATGAAACTAAAAGGTAATGTTTAAAAGGGAATCCTTCTATACAATGCAGAATTAACCTATGGAACTGTTAAGGCTGATTCTCCACTCTGGCACTTTGTGTGCAGAAGGTGGGGGCGCGCAAGGACTTCAAAAATTAATACTTGCCACTCTAGGCTTGTATTCAACTCCCAAGGTTACAGCTTTTCTCTGACCTTGGATTGGTAGATGCTGCCACCACCCCACTGCAAAACCCCTTTGGGAACCCAAGAAGGTGCACTTGGGAATTCCTTCCTCTGGGGTACACTCAAGCCCTTTCGCCCCCGCCCCCCTTTCTGGGGAAGAGCTGAGAAAGAAGGGAAAAAAAAAGGAAATCCAGCTGTTGCCAGCAGCTAATTAAACAATGTGCACAAGCCTCTTAAGACGCACACATCCAATTCTGTTAAAAAGGAAGAAAATACATCTGGGAACTTAAGCTTTTGCTAGATTTAAAAAAAACAAAAACCTACAAGAATTAAGCCTCAAGAATAGCTCTCTGGAGGTCCAGCTTAAACGTTACAAGCAAAACAAAAGCACCTGGGGTTAGTACAGAGGAATTCACAAGCCATAAAGAAATAAAAGGGATAAACCTAATCACGTCTTCCTAGACATTTCCTGATCTATCTGGGGTTTTAGATAAGTAGTTTCTAGTATGATACTGATGTTTTTTTTCATACCTGCCCCGAGCTTTTCACAGCATAACTGCTCCCTGTCTGCCTCTCCCCGAGAACTACACAGACAGACAAAAGGGAGTCTTTGTTCAATTTTAAAAAGTTCTAGCCTTCCCATTGGCTCTTTTGGCCAGATGTCCACCCACTTCCTTTTACCTATGCATAGCAGTGAGACTTTTTAACCCTTTACAGGTAGAGCAATTAGAGAACAGCTACTAAGAGGGATTTTATAGCTGCTGGCTGGCTGGCTGGCTGGGCATCCATAAAATGGAGCTACCCCTCTTCCCCCCTCATTTATCACAGGAACTCATTGTCACAATATGTCAGTCCAAGAGCTTTCCAGAATTAAAAGGATTAAAAATGGATAATGAAAATATTCTTGGTTACATTAGCTAGAGTAAAAAATGAAGGCTATAACTCCACATTCTTCAGGCAGTCACTTTCTGCAGCTCTTTAAGGAGAAAGTACCCTGATGGGGAGTTCAATATCTGTCCATTATGGAGTTTCTTGCACCTTCCTCTGAAGCATTTGGTATTGGCCTCTGTCAGAAGCAGAATATCAGATGAGATTTAATTTGATAATGTAATTCCTATATGATATATTTGAGACTAGATTTACCTATATTCTTATGAAGATGAAACACTGCAATCATAAATTTTATAGCCTATAACAACTATTTATTAAAGGGAACACCTACATTTTCTTTGGCTCAGCAGTCTTAAAGTTCAAAAAGTAAGAAGTACTTTTTGCTATAAAACTTATGTGAAGTGTGTTTAAAGTTAGCGTTTCTGTGATGTCTGATGCCTAAATCATCTTGGTGAATATATTAAACTTTATGAAAGCAGTTTTCTCTAACAGATTTTTTTTAATCAGTGTTTTATGGTGAGACAGTATTTAAGATCGTCACTTCACAATTCTTGCTCACTTGAGTAGTCAATAGGACTACTTAAAGTAAGGAAGAGATTGTATGATTGGACCCTTAATATGTAAATTTAAACATTGATTTTAAATTTATCCTGCTTTAAGACTCATTTACTCTGATACTGTATTTCCATATGTCCAGTATCACACATGCCACTTCAGAAAGAGCAATAAGCTCAAATCTCAACTGTAATTCACTTTTCAAGTGTATTTTACTCATAGTAAATTGCTTTGCTGTTTCCATCTGAAACATTTTCAGAACAAATGGGTATAACTTTTCTTAACCACTAAGTAAGTGAAGTGCTGCTTAAAGTGCCAGACTGACAGTCCTGGAAACTGAAGTTCTCTGTTTATTTACAAAAGCTGTGGCATGATCAGAAGCAAGGCAAGTTTTCCCACCAATGCACTGCAACCCTATCTCAGGAAATCCTCTATATGTAATATCTGTAGTGTAATGAATAAGCTAAACAGAGAAGCCAATGGAAGGACATGGGTTACATGAAATTGTTGGTTTTTAAAAAATGACCAGCTTGTGCATGCAGTTACATGTCTAGTAGGTTAATTGCGTAAGAAATGGCCAAAGGACAGAAAAGGCTAGAGTCGTAAAAGTACTCTGCGTTGTGTTTTTTTTTTCCCCCTTCCGATGTTGAATATAAGCATAATTTTATTAAGGTGGTGATCCTGTAAGTTGCTGTTCTCATGTAGGCCCCATATATGGAGCTACATTGACTTTACTGACGCTCTACGTAAGGGCAGAGGGTCTATCTGTGTAGAACAACTTGCAAGATTGGGCCTAGAGGTTTAGTTAGTATGTAACTGTTCTACTCTCTTTGTGTTAACCTCCAATGTAAAAAAAGGGGGATTCTTTATAGATAAGGTAGCATCTGGCCCCTGATTTTTGTAGGCTCACCCACAGACTTTACTTAATCAATTAAAAGTGTAATTCAGCTCTCTCCATAGAATTAGTTTTACACCTATTTTAGCTTATGGAAATATTAATGTAAAATACAATCATTGGTCAAATGGAGCATTATTAGAGGATACAATCCAGAATGCTTTAGTTTTCTTTTTTGTTTTAAAAACCTTGGTGTTCAATGTAGTTTTCCAAACTTAATTTCTTAAGAAAGATATGAGTATTGCATTTTGAAATGAGTAACTTTATATATTTTAGCTGTGGAGAATGTTTATAAAAACCGTGAACCTGTCCCACACATGAAGGCAATTTATTTCATCACTCCAACCGAGAAGGTTAGTATTTTTAAGGAAAAACTTTTTAGTTTTTTTTAAATCTTTTTTTTGGTAGTACACAAAGCATGAAGCACTAAACCATCGTAACAATTTAAACTGAGCTATTACAAAGCTGCCACTCAAAATAAAGGCTATAGAAAAGAGTTGGCTCTACTGGTACTATAGAAATGTTCGGAAGAGACTGAATCTCCAATCTGTAACAATATAACATAAGATTTTCCTTCTCCCCTGTGCTTTCTTTGCTTCATTAAAGCAATCTTTTGTACAACTTCTATAGATGAGAATATTACTGATCTTCTTGCATTGTTTTGTCATCCTTGGACTGGATATATGAATATTATAGTTCAGTGTTTACATTCCCATGTGACTGATTACAGTATTTCTGGTTTCATACTGATCAATAAAAACATGAACTTTTCAAAAATATAGTCCAAGAAAAGTTTGTTCTAAGGGCAGGCAAAATAGACACTAATAACAGTTATTTTCTTTATAGTAAATTACAATTTAGCATTTTTATCTTAAGTCTGTAGATGGGCTTATAAATGACTTTGTAAGTAAATCATCCAGCAAGTACAAAGCAGCATATGTCTACTTCACTGACTGTAAGTAATTTTTTTTTTGAGTTTGCTAATGATAAACTAATGATTGAGTTTAAGTGGTTGTCAGTCTTATCTTGTTACTAATATATTTTGATTTTCTATTTGGTGCATATTGGAGATACTAACTACTGCACTAAGCTATGAGGGGAGTTTTGAGACTCGGCTTGTTTACCAGAGTTGAGAATTTAAGTTGAAGTGTTTAAAAAACAGCAACAACCCATAATTCTGTCTTTGCCTGTTAATTATTCTGTAAGGCATTGTAGACAGAAATGGAAAGCCACAGGATGTGGATTAGAGTTTCTGTCCAGTGTGGCACCGTGGCTTCTTATTTCCCAGAATAGGTATGACCTTTAGTTTCCAATGTTACATGTTTTGGTTTTATTTTTATAACGTGCTAACTCTATTTGTATGCTATAGAATGTAAAGGAAGAAGCTTTTGAGCAAAATTATGGGGTACAGAAACATATAATCCTGTGCCGAAATAACACCAAAAAATGACTTTCTTGGGATGACAGTTTCTGCTGCAAGGACAGTGGTTTGAAGTTTGATTATATTTCACTTATTCACTATGAACTCAGTTTTGAGCTGGGCTCCACATGACTGTAGGGGAGTAAGGAAGTATAAGGTGCCCTCTTAATTCCTCTGCATAGTCTTCTTGCATCATAAGTTGCATGCAAAGGAAAGAACAGCTGTCATTCCATAGGTACTCCCTCAGTCTGTGTGGGTGTGGGAACTAAGGCTGCGCCCCCTCCATTATCAGTCAGCACAGCTGAAAGAGTGTGGAGAGGGAAGTAAGCTGTGCTAGGAAAAGGACACCTGTACTCTGGGTGTCCCTAACCCTCTGACTGCCAGAAGCTGGGACTAGATGACAGGGGTGGATCACTCGCTAATTGCCCTTTTCTGTTTGTTCCCTCTGAAGCATCTGGCAGACCCACTATGACCATTCTTATGCCCTTATATTCCAGTTCAACTTACTTCCCCCATGGGAAGCAGACACTGAATTTTGGCTGCATCAGTTTGGTCCCTGGTCTACTCTTGAACTGTGCAGCTGCACGCTTCCCCAGTTCTGTTTGTTTCTCCTTGATGAAAACCCGCCCCCTTGGTTCACTCTACTTCCCTGTAAGTCAACCACCCTCCCCTCCCCTTTTCGATCATCGCTTGCAGAGGCAATAAAGTCATTGTTTCAAATTCATGCGTTCTTTATTTATTCATCACACAAAAGGGGGATAACTGCCAAGGTAGCACGGGGTGTGGGAGGAGGGAAGGACAAGGCCACACTACACTTCAAAACTTATTGAATGCCAGCCTTCAGTTGCTTGGGCAGTCCTCTGGGGTGGAGTGGTTGGGTGCCCGGAGCCACCACGCTCTTCTCTTCTACTCCCCCCCACGTTCTTGGGCATCTGGGTGAGGAGGCTATGGAACTTGGGGAGGAGGGCAGTTGATTACACAGGGGCTGCAGTGGCGGTCTGTGCCTTTCCTGCACCTCAACCATACGCCGGAGCATATCAGTTTGATCCTCCAGTAGCCTCAGCATTGTATCCTGCCTCCTCTCATCACGCTGCCGCCACCTCTCCTATTGCTCCAACCATCTATCCTCTCACACGTCCCTCCTGTCCTCACATTCATTTTATGCTTTCCTGGACTCTGACGTTGTCTGCCTCTACGCATTCTGCTGGGCTCTTTCAGTGCGGGAGGACTGCATGAGCTCAGAGAACATTTCATCGCAAGTGTAGTTTTTTTCGCCACCTTATCTGAGCTAGCCTCTGGGATGGAGATGCTAGTTGCAGTGTTGAAACATTTGCAGCTGCGGGAGGGAAAAAAAGGGAGAGTAAAACTGAAAAAGACACATTGGCCATTTAAAAGTAGGGGCTAATGTTTTCGGGTTAATGTGCAGCACAAACCCAACTAACCCCCCTCCCCCCACGCACCCAATTTTCTGGGATGATCGCTTCACCCCTCCCCCCACCACGTGGCTAACAGTGGGGATGATTTCTTTTCAGCCACAGGCAAACAGCCCAGCAGGAACAGCTACCTCTGAATGTCCCCTTAATGAAATTGCCTTATTTCAGCCAGGTGACCATGAATGATATCACTCTCCTGAGGATAACACAACGGATGTTGCTTGAATGCCAGCAAACACTGGGACCACACGCTGCCATGCTTTCTTTTGCAGTGATTCCAGACTATGTGCTACTGGCCTGGCGTGGTAAAGTTTCCTACCATGGTGGAGGCAATAAGGCTGCCCTCCCCAGAAACCTTTTGCTAAGGCTTTGGGAGTACCTCCAGGAGAGCTTCACTGAGATGTCCCTGGAGGATTTCAGCTCCATCCCCAGACACGTTAACAGACTTTTCCAGTAGCTGTGCTGGCCGTGAATGTATCCCAAGTCTTCAGGGCAAATTAATCATTAAACACACTTGCTTTTAAACCATGTATTATATTTAAAAAGGTACGCTCACCAGAGGTGCCTTCTCTGCCTTCAAGGTCCAGGAGCCCGGGTTGGGAGGGTATTGGCTCCAGGGTGATAAACAGTTCCTGGCTGTCGGGGAGAACAGTTTCTCCATTTGCCTGGTGTGCGGTATCTTCAACTTCCCCCTCATCATCATCTTCTTTGTCCCCAAAATTCTCATCCCTGTTGCGTGAGACTCCCTTGCAGGAGTCCACGTACAGGTGTGGGGTAGCTGTAGGAGCACCCCCTAGAATTGCATGCAGCTCCTCATAGAAGTGGCATGTCTGGGGCTCTGACCTCGAGCGGGCATTTGCCTCTTGGGTTTTTTGGTAGGCTTGCCTGAGCTCCTTAAGTTTCACACCGCACTGCTGCGGGTCCCTGTTATAGCCTCTGTCCTTCATGCCCTTGGAGATTTTTTTTTTCAAATATTTTGGCATTTTGTCTTTTGGAACGGAGTTCTGATAGCATGGGTTCGTCTCCCGATACAGCAGTCAGATTCAGTACCTCCCGTTCGGTCCATGCTGGAGCTCTTTTGCGATTCTGGGACTCCATGGTCACCTGTGCTGATCAGCTTGCCACGGTGGCCAAACAGGAAATGAAATTCAAAAGTTTGCAGAGCTTTTCCTGTCTACCTGGCCAGTACGTCTTAGTTGAGAGTGCTGTCCAGAGTGGTCACAATGGAGCACTCTGGGATAGCTCCCAGAGGCCAATACCATTGAATAGCGTCCACACTACCCCAAATTCGACCTGGTGATGTCGATTTCAGTGCTAATCCCCTGGTTGAGGAGGAGTACAGAAATCTATTTTAAGAGTCCATTAAGTCAACAAAAATGGCTTCATTGTGTGGACGGGTTCAGGGTTGAATCGATCTAACGCTGCTAAATTCGACCTAAACTCATAGTGTAGACCAGGGCCTAGTTAAAATAGGCTATAGAGCCCTTAAAATCCACTTGGGTTTTTGTGTCCATACAACACTTCTACAATAGGTTCTGATGTTCCAAGAGAACCATGTCTGCATGGCTTTCTGTTTGTGTATCTCCCTATTAGAGATTTACAGACCTGCAACTTAAAGGTTTGTTCATTTATTTCATTTAAGGAAAACCCATTTGGCTCTGTCTCAGATTTATGTCTGTTCAAGGAATTTGCTAAGTATCCATATGGTCTTATCTGCATATATTTACCAATCATTGTTTAAATTCAGTTTCTAGAGAAGAATCCAAGTTTAACTTCAGTATTACAGAATATATTTCTAAGATAGGTGCAACCAAACTCTTGTATCTGCTTTATATTTTGTTTGGGGGTGTGTATTGCCTATTTTGGGGGTGGAGGAGAGGGCTATCTTCTCCTTTTTTGTAATATTTAGGAGGTACCTTACTACTCGTATGAAAGGGAGGAGAAAGAACATACACACAACCCTCTTGTTGTTTGTTTTTCACTATTCGGGATGTGGTACATTACTTTTTCTTCTCATTATCGTTCCAGTATCTCTCTTAAATTTGTTAGAAATCTTTCTCAAGCTTCAGTGTCCAAAAGTTGGAATCCGCTGGAAAGTAAAGTACCTGTAACTCTTCTCTGAAGAGAGATTCTCAAACCTAGTGGATTAGCACTACTTATCTTTCCCTTTGGGAGAGTTCTATAATACTTTTTATCCATTAATAGTGATTGACTCTTGTTTCAGCCTTTCTCTTGAAAGGACCTGCTGCTGGAATTCTGTAAGCCATGGGCATGTTTCTGGTTTCAGAAAGTTCAGAATTTTCTAGCTGGGAGAGTTCCTGTCTGATCACATGCTGGCGCCACAGACTAATGTAGTAATTCTCTAAAACAAATCTGACTTTTAAAGAACAAGATTTATGAATGTGAATGAATTAACTGAAAGGAATAAATATAAAATGGCTTCATAACCTCTAATCTCTTTCCCCAGTTTGCCCTGACATTCTCTTTAATAAAATGAAGTCCTCCTGCTCATGGGCTATAAGAAGGTGCAAAGAAATAAATGTTTCCTTCTTGCCATATGAATCTCAGGTAAACTTCAGTCTTTATATTAGCATAACTCCAGAAATTATACTGCATTTTATATTTCTAAGTGTTGATTTATCCACTATAAAGTCTTGAAATGTAGCTGTTTTTTATTTTAAACATATTTTTCAGACATTGTGACAAACAGTACACAAAGCCTACCACCATTTTGGCTTATTTACAATATATTTGCAAGATGAAAACAAATTGCTATTGCTATCAAAAGTTTATTTTCACTGTCTTCATTGCATGACTGGGTTCAGTTGACATGGAAAGCTTTTGTCATTCAGTGCAGCAAATGAGTTTTGGCTCATCTTAAGCAATGCCAAACTGCACTACTCACTATTTTGCAATACTGTTCTTCTTACTTGTAACTGGATAGGATTAGTTAAGACCCCAGAATCAACTACTCATAGAGATATGGGAAGTCAGCAAGAGCAAACAATTCAGAGAATTTAGGATTCTAAAAGCAAAAAAGACATGGTTAAATGTTACATTTAAGAGTAGTAGTATGAAGACACTGGTGAGGATAATCACCAGCTAGTTTCCAGCCTCTTTCATTGGTGGTTTTCGCTCTATCTGCAATAGTAGATTTGTCACTCATGCACTTCATATCAAAGGGGGAAAAAAAATGAAATACTACATCAATACTGGCCAATATAGGGAAGCCCACAAGGCCAAGAATCCTTGCTCCACTGTAGGAAGTTGTAGAAATGTCTGAGTGTTACTCTTCTCACATTACTTTTCCTTGTTTTTCTGTGTACCTTCCCTTTCTCTGTTTTGCACACTGCTAGGGTGTCAAACTCTTGTACCCCAACTGATATGTGAGTATAGGAGTGTAGTGCCTCCTATTATTTTCTGGTAAGGGAGCTTCGTAACTGAAGGACTCCTTTCCCTCTCCTCACTACTTTTTTTATTGGGTGAGTCATGGGGTTGTAGTCATGGAAAGAGAATCTTGTTCCTCATGTCGACTTACACAAAGGGCTTTTATCACAACTGTTTGTCAGAGGGTTGTTTTTATTAAACTGCTTTTACCAAAAAAAGTTTTTGATGAAACATCTGCAGCCAAAGTCAGCTTAGGGCTGTGAAAGCTTCAGTCTATTGTGGGATTTCACTATCCTGATCCTTCAGAGAACCTCTATCTGAAACTGAGAAATTGATCATTGGTTTTCTAATGTAAAAAGTAAGCAGAATCTGTACCTCTCTTCCTTTTGCTTTTTTTTTTTTTTTCTCCTATGCCTTGGGATCAGGGAACCCTTCAGGTCTTTGTGAATCATAAAAATGCTCTTTACTGCATATTTGCTTGCTTGGCTGGCAGATAAGAATCTCCTGATGACATTCACTTAAGCCCAGTTTGCATGGTGATAGAACTGGGTAGAGTCAGACTTCATTCTGAGACAGGTTTGAATGGCCATGTTCTGCAAGAAGGAAATAAGCATTTTGCGCCTTTATCTGCAGAGGGAATTCTTATTTGGAATTTGGCGAGAGAGCCTGTTGATACAAAGATTGTGTGAATCTCTGGCAGCAACTTGCTTAACTGGGGAGCAGCCAGAAGAGTGGTTTTTAATAGTGTCAGAAACAAGTAAAATCTTTTGCTGAAGTTCTACAATTGTATGTGTGTAGTTCCTGCAGGAGGGGCCCCCCGCCCCAACTATAATTTCTTAAATGTATGTCAGATTGTGGGCCTAAGCAGGTTTAACTGTGTCTCTTATTATAATCACTTTGGCATTGCACTGTATTGCTCCATGCCAGACATTGGATGGTATTTAGTTCCGACTGCCTCAGGTTCCTCCATCTGCACAGGTAGTGAGCAGGTTGAAACATACAGTAAAGTCTATAAGGGAGAAGAGAAAATGGAGGAAAGTAATAGAGGAAAGGAGTGTGAGAACAAGAAACAAAGATGAGCTCAAGAGGACAGAGAAAATGAAATAGGATTGAAGTAAAAATAAAATGGTATCATTAGGCAATGTTAGCTTAGATATGTATTTTCTTGTGCATGCCTTTTTTGTTACAAAATGAGGTCCTAATCCCTCTGACTGTTCTTACACCACATGTTATTTCTAAAGAAATGTACAATGCTAACCTCTTTCATGGCTATGCTTTACTTAGGTATTTACTCTCGATGTCCCAGATGCATTCTTCTGCTGTTACTGTCCAACTGTGGAAAAGGCAAAGGGTAAAGATGCCATCATGGAAGCAATGGCTGAACAAATTGTTACATTATGTGCAACTTTAGATGAAAACCCAGGAGTAAGATATAAAAGGTAGGGCAGAAAATAGTGTTAAATATATGTAGGATTTTCATCGTTGACTTCCTACTTGTGGTGCTGTTTCGAAACAACAATGTTCCATCTTCTGATATGCTTTTAATAAAAACATAATATTTGATCCTTAACGATAATTAAATAGGTTGGTATGAGTCCACATAGAGTAAGTGTAGTGCAGGTTGTTTTTGCTTCCCTTGAGCATTTGTCAACTTTTAGTAAATAGTCAGTCTCAGTGCTTTTGTTGCTGGTCACTTGCACTTACTGTCTCATTTGCTAGTGTGACATTTTCAGTACTGCTTTTTTTGGGGGGGGCACTTGCATGCATCCTGTTCCCCAGGTTCTGCATGTGTTTTACCAGTAACCCAGCAACAGAACTTCTGTTATTGAATTTGAGCCTAGGAGAATGTCTCCTTTTTCTGGGGTCCCTGCATGGATTTGGGACGCAACAGGAGCCAGAGGAGAGGGGAAACAACTAAGGTCTGAGGTGGGGGTGGGGGGAGGGGGGCGCGGCGGCTAAGGAGCAATCGGAGTGGAGTAGAGAGTCCCCTTCCCTTTCTGAACCCCTCCAGAGAGCACCGAACAGTTGATCCTTGGGGGTCCAAGAAAGCTCCCAACTTCCATTCTCCTGGAGTCCTTTGTGGGTCAAGGGGAAGGATTTACACAATTGCTGTTGGGGTGGGAAATAGAGAGGCATGCCTGAGCACATTTGTGTTTCAAGCTGCCCATTCTCCTTAGCTGAAAAGATGATTAAAAAAATAAACAGGAGCAGAAAAAATCTTTTAAAAATTAAAATGTGAAAGTTTAAAGATAACACTTTTTAAAAGGGTACTATACAGAAACTCAATCTTAAAAAAATAAATAAAGTTGTCCCTTTAGTTTTCATTGTGCCCAGTTTGGTGTAGTGAGTAGATACTCTGAGCTCTAGCATTGAATTTTTTAGCTTTTTATGGATGTCAGTCTCACCGGTAATTTTAAATCCATTTTGTTTTTGTTCTAATGTTGGTTGTTCTGCTCAGAGATAATTACAGTACAAGCACAGACTGGTTGGAATGATGCCATTTATTTAGATAGTATTTCATTCTCTGGTAAAAGAGTTAAGCAAAAACTGCCTGCCTGCTGGTTAGCTGCTTAGATCTAAAGAAGAGCTCTGTGTAAGCTTGAAAGCAGAAGTTGGTCCAATAAAAGATATTACCTCACTTACCTTCTCTTTAGTATCTACTTTCTCTTTCTGGAGAAAGGAGAGCCAGGAGGTCTGACTTTTATTCCTTGATCTGCCATAGACTTGGTCTATATAACCTAAGACTATTCTTTTAACTTTTCTTTCTGTCTCTCCTTGGCTGTAAAATTGGTAACATTACACTCACAGGAGTGTTTAGGACTTGGATCAATTCAAGAAAGTATTTAAGAACATGTTTTAAGTGCATCCCTATTCAGTAAAGTACTTTAAGCATATGTTTAAGTGTTTTGAGTAAGGATGCTCTTCTGAATCAGGGCCTAAATGCATAAAAACTTCTCAAGCATCTTTGATATTTTCTGGTCAAAGGCATAATAGAAATGCAGATCATTAAATTTCTCTGCCACTTCAGCATACAGTCTAAAAAGCTATCATTTCCTATAATATAGTGGGAACAAAGTACTAAACAAGTTTGTGTTTTAAATAGTAAATTAAAAGTAGAAAAAGTTTCCTGGTTTTTTGTGTGTGTGATGAGCACATAACTTTTTACACACATTTTCAACAAGCAGCATTCTTTTACAGTTAAATGCCTAAAGGATTTTGACAGTTGAACCATAAAACTAAAAGCTGTTTATCTATTTTATAGCATCTAAGCTAAAAATTACTATAAATCTGAATATTGTATTGTGGAACAAATTGTTGTTTGTGGTTAGCTTTGCAACTAGAATTATGGGGAGAAACACTGACATTTTTCACTCAGTATTTCTGCAACCAGAACTGAATAACCATCCATTTTTGTTCTTTCGCTCTTCTTATTGACTATTGTGTATGCAGGTAAGACTTGCTGTCCATTTTTTTTTTTAGCTGTCCATTTTGGTCTTGCTTATTTCTTTAAAAAAACACCTGTGTATACTTTGTTTTGAGTACAAGATCATTTACGGCTTGATCGTACAGATATGTGGTCTTGATAGGAGAATAGGAATGAAATTATTCACGTTGCTTAAGTGTGTTTAGGATTAAGCTCTTAAGCTGTTTTATGTCATAGTTGAGGGAAAGTACTGTAAATATGCATTTTGGCAAAAATGTGTTTTGAAATGTTTTAAAATTAAGTAGGAGTTCTGAAACTACAGATGTTTGAAGATAAGTAGTTGCATTATAGAACACTGACACTAAAATGTCTTATAACAGAAATTTAATAAACAATATTTGACTTTTTTTATTTTTTTCCTCCAGCAAGCCATTGGATAATGCCAGCAGACTTGCAGAGCTAGTTGAAAAGAAGCTTGAAAACTACTATAAAATTGATGAGAGAAGCCAGATAAAGGTAGAGTGAAAACTACATCCCATGTTTGCTTTATTTTTATAAACAAAGGAAATTGTTAAAGGATGTTAGAAGACAGAATGCTGTTTTTAAAAAAAGATTTGGTTTCTAAATACTGTATAGAAAACTGTCACTTCAATTGCTTTTTGTGTGATTTAAAAACAGGTTGGAAGAGTGGAAGATAACTTGTGCAGTGAGAAAACAGAATTGATGCTCTCTGTTCATATAACAAGACATGGAGACATCCCACCTGGAGGAGGGTTGCCAGACTAGTAAATGGGTGGTGCAGATCAGGGAGAAAATGCATGATTTTGACTCATCCCACCTTTTAGGGCACTGGGCAAAGCAGAGGATTATTTCAGGGGCACAGTTTTCCCACTTCGGGATTCATGGAACTCCCATTGATGTGGGAGAACAGGGCTCTTAGAAATATGCCTACCATCCTTCATTTCTCCCACAGTAGCACCTAATAGTTTGTTATATGGGGTAGGTCATGTGTACAGGTGGCTGCATCCTTAGGCAGTAGCCCACTGACCCAGGCATTTCTGATTCCATTGCATTCAGCTCAGCCACAAGAACAAATGCAATTGAGTCCCTTTTGCCCACCAGTAGATACTCTAGTGTTTGGGGCAATGAGGTGGGCACAACCACCAAGAGACTGGGAGCACAAACAGAAGCAAACAAGAATATGAGAAAATGGAGGGGGAGAGGAAGAAACTACTGATCTATTGGGGGAAGGAAGAGCCTCTGATAAAAGGGTTGGGAATCAGTCATACATTCTGGGACCTCTGGTGCCACCCTGAATGCTCAGTCAGTTTGGTCCTGTGTCTTTCTGACTTGATCAAAGCCCTGAGGTTTTGTGATGCTGGTCTTCTAGTGACTCCTGAAGAACTTAGTTTTGAATCCACATCAAGATCAGCTGATGATCACATTTAAAACTGTAAGTTCTCTTGCTTGGTCTAGGATTCAGATAATATCTGTTTGTGTGTCAAGCCTAAGACATGCTTGTTTTCTGTTGCATCCAGTTCAACAGGGACTTTTGCTTTTGAAGTGAAAAATTAAAGGATTGTATTGTGCCTGAAAACACACTACATAAAAAACATCCGATATGAACTCATATGGTCTTTAAACAGAAAGCTGCCTCTACTTCATGGCTGAGAAGTAGCTGGGCTAGTTTGGTATAGCTAAAGACAACTTAACTGTAATGGGGTTTTGAATTACAAAAAAAAACCCTTGCTCTTGATCAGAGAATAAACCAGTCTGGCACTCTCTAGGATTTTCCAAGAAGGCTTAGAATGTGATTTGGTTGCTTCAAATAGATTTGGAGTGTTGTAGCTTTGTACAGTATGTCTTAAGTTTTTCTTCCCTTACGTTTTTAGGGTAAAACCCACTCCCAGCTGTTAATAATCGATCGTGGCTTTGACCCTGTGTCTACTGTACTCCATGAACTTACCTTCCAAGCAATGGCGTATGATCTGCTACCAATTGAAAACGATACATACAAGCAAGTATAACTTTTTGTATCTAAGTACTTCATTCTGACTTGAGTTTAGGACCTGTCTTTGATATGTTTTATTTGTAGTTATTAAAGGTGAACTACAAAGGGAATTATTTGCTATTTTACTACTTTATGCTGTGTAAAGATGGCTTTAGTTTATTTAAAAACTTTTTTCTTCCGTCCTCTCTTTGCCAGAGATATTTGATTGGTTACATTGTCTTGCTAACTGAAGCTTCTGAGTGGACCTTCAAAGATACAGCCCCAGTAGTAAGACTAATGTGGCAATGGGAGTGTGTCACAGACGTATGGATAACTATGGCAGGAGGGGAAAATGTCCATAGCAGCAACAATTTTTGGCTTATCCTGTGATCAGAAAAATTAAGACATCTATCTGATGTAGCTATATTTACTACCCTAATCTAAAAGTTTAATTGGTGACTAGCAGAGCTGAATTTTTTTATATTTATTGAAGTTGAGATCCAGGTATGAGCTCTGGAACTTGGATCTAATTTAGTTCGAGTCTCTTCCATAAAAAGACTGTCTCCACGTTATAGCATATAAGTCTCATAAATCTTGAATCTGCTTCCAAATTTGTTTGTCACAAACAAGTCGTCATACTTCTGCCATGCTGTCAGGCAACCTTTGTGGGATGCATTTCAGATACATAGTTCTTTAGCAAAAAGAAAAGGAGTACTTGTGGCACCTTAGAGACTAACCAATTTATTTGAGCATGAGCTTTCGTGAGCTATAGCTCACTTCATGTGAAGTGAGCTATAGCTCACGAAAGCTCATGCTCAAATAAATTGGTTAGTCTCTAAGGTGCCACAAGTACTCCTTTTCTTTTTGCGAATACAGACTAACACGGCTGTTACTCTGAAACCTGTCATAGTTCTTTAGCAGATTCTCAGATATCAAATGGAAATTTACAAGAGTTTCAGAAATAATGCTAAGCTTGCAACATATATTTATATTCTTATGAGTCTGAAACTTATTGGTTGGATTTTTTTATCCAGTCGGTAGAGCCACTATTTGATTTTTTTTAAATTAAGTTTGTATTTTTCTGTTATTTCTACTGGCTTCTGGTTTAACCACTATTTGTGAGTTTCTTCAACTATATCCAAATATAAATGAAAGTATTGTGTCGCGAGATACCCAATATGCATCATATTCCTTCTGTTCACAGAAAACTACTTAATAATTGAAGTCTGTGATGTTAAGCATGTTAGCTGTCAATTTATGTGGAGTAATTAGTCCACAAAAGTCTGTTCTGTAGCTCTACATAGTTTGTAGACAGAAGTCCTTCTGCACTTCAAGAGGTATATAGACTTCCAATGCTATCTAGATTTTGTCACCTCTAGTGTGTTTGACTTTGCACTCAACTTCAATTCAAAAAGGAAAAATCAAAAACCTAGAGAAATGAAAGTGCATGTAAATCTGTGTGTGGGGGCTGGGGTTTTTGTTTTTGGTTTTGTGGGGTTTTTTGTTTAAACCAACAACCTACAGAATATTCAAAGGATAAGCCGGGATGGATTTCCAACCTTAGCTGAAATTACTGCAGAAGAAAATTATTCTAAAATGGATGTAATTTTGCCTTAATTATTAAGGACTTCAGATCAGCCTTAACTTTTCCTGAGTATTATGCATAAAATATGGTTAAAACAGTACCTATTGTTTCAGAACCACATTTCTTTTTTTAAAAAAGAAATAATCTTTGTGCATTACCTGCCAATGTTAAAAATAGTTATTTTAACTTTTTTGTTCTACATGTTCAGTTGCTTTATGTAAAACATGCATTGGAAATATCTAATTTCACAACCTGATTTCCTGTCTGTAGATATAAAACAGATGGACCCAGTGGAAAGGAAAGGGAGGCAATTCTGGAGGAGGAGGATGAGCTCTGGGTGAAAATTCGGCACAAGCATATTGCAGATGTGTTAGAGTATGTGACTACGTTCTTGATGTTTGATATTTTATACATTTCGGGGATATTATTTAATTAGAAAATACTACAGTAATAGAATTGACAAAGGTATAAAGACAGAGAATAATTATAGAAAGATTACAGATTTGTAAGGGGAAAAGATTAGCTGGTTTGGCCAGCTAGTAAGGGAGAATAGTCAGTATGTACAGACCTCTCAGTGGTGTACACATTAAATTCTAGTATCCAAAAACTGATGTTAGCAAAATAACGCAAATGTATGTTAAGCATATACCAATATTTATTGAAATCCTTTATAAAAATAATTTTAATTTCTATCTTTCAAAGATGATGAGACTCCACAATCTTCATCTAAATTTTGAGGAGGAAATTTAGAATACAAGAAGCACTTAGCTTTGCCATAAATGGAGAAAAGAGACTTCATTCCCATCCAAAATGAGTATTTTTGCAGAATGGAATACCAAAATACCTCATTTTTCACTAAAAACAGTTATGATAATTGGAAACCATAAATCTCTTGAGTTTACTACTTCATCATACTGTTAACTTAATAATTTTAATTTATAAATTACTTGTTTCAGATTTTAAAGCATTCCTTTACTTTCTCCTAATCTGACAGGGAAATTCCAAAACTTTTGAAAGAAGTTTCATCAAAGAGAAAAGCAACAGAAGAAAAAGTAAGAAATAGTTACTTATTACTGACTTATTGTTAAAATATATATATATATTTTTAATATTATTTGCCTGCCCAGTGTATTTTTCAACTAGGTCAGTTAAAAGTTCTGTTTGGTTATTGGTTCTTAACCTGCCTGAGAAATTGATATGAGTTTCTCAGTTGTGAAGTTGGGAAATCCCAGCCTCCAGCAGTAAGGGAAATAAAATTTATTGAATGAGAAACATCAGTTGAGTTTAAACTGTGTCCTCTTTTCACAGTTATCACTAAGTAATCTGGCCCAGCTAATGAAAAAGATGCCCCACTTCCGTAAACAGATTACCAAGGTAAGCAGCATCCTGTACATTGCTATGCTTTTCTTGTCAACTGTTCTCACCAAATAGTATCTCTGGTTTTACAGGCTATATTTTTATGATTTTAATTCAAGAACCCTAGAGTGGAAAAATCTGTTTTTTTTTTATATTGAGCTTTTGTCGTGCATGTTTTCATGTTCGGTGCTTCATATTTTTGTTCTCAGTGAATACATTTTTTGAGGAGTAAGTCCACTTCCAAGTGTGACAGCTTTTTTTGTCAATATGAAATGTTTAAGCCTTCTGTTGGATGCATTCATACTCTTTAAGTAAACTAATGCACTTGGATTATGATTGTAGATACCTGTCTGAACAGCTAATGCTTCATAGTATTGCTTTTACTTTCTCTTTATATAGCAATAATGAATGGAAGAAATGTTTCAAATTAATAGGATCAACACACAATTAGTATATTGTCAAACTGAACTTTACACAATGGTATTTTATTTACTTAGTAAAGATTCTAAAGTTAAGTAGTGTAAAATGCAGCAATTAAAACTGAAATGAAACCCCTATCTGCAAAAATACACATCTAAAGGAAACGACTGAAGCATGATCATGTTCTCACTTGACCTGTAACCATAAATTAACAGGTGTGGTTAATCACAAACCCACTGCAGAATCTTCATGCATTATGGAAATGAAAAACAAAGACTGAAAAAGATGTACTGCTGTTGCACACATTTCCCTTTAAAATGTTCTGGACTCCTGAGTGAGATCAGGTTCCAGCCAGTTGCATGTCACGACTTTATCACGTAAGCTGGTTGAGGGAAAGAGGTCTCATATAGATGAATCATAGTACCTAGAAGTCTGATAAACAATCTTTCTTTGTGAATGGCACTCTCCTGGTGCAGACTTTGTTTTTCACTCCATGGAATAGAGTAGTGACATTGCAGATAGAGACTAGCAGATGATAGAACTTGAAATTCTCAAGTGAAATTATCTAATCAAACACCTAAAAAAGAACCTTCGGTTGTGGTTTTAAAGCATCTTCATCTTTTATTTTTGGTAATGCCTTCAGTCAAAAAACAGCAACATCCAGGGTCATAACTTGCATTTGATAAATTTTATTATTTCTAATATTTAGAAAATCATATTTTGTATCTTAGTTATTTGTGAGAAGACATTCTAATGGGCTAGAGTTTGAGATAATCCAGATGAATTTAATGCTCTGTAATGATCTCACAGCATTGAAATAGTCAAATTACTGGGAAAGATTGGTTTTGGTAAAGGCATCTTTCAAAATTCATAATCATAGAGTGGCCTTATACAAAAGCCTAATGGAATGGCATCAGCTTGTAATCAGTCACATTGTGCTTTTCTGGAAGGATGTAAGGGATTAGTCAAGTAGGGTGAAGCAGTCACCGGAAGCTAGCAAAATATAGAATCCTAAACTAATTCCCATATCCTAAGCGAAGATCATAAGTCAACACTTCCCTATTTTAGGCCACAAGGTTTTTCACTTATTGTAGGCTGATAGACATTTTTCGAGAAACGAGAAATTAGTAAAGGGTGATGGGGAACCTCCGATTCCAATAATTTCATTGTAGACTTTGTAACTAGAATTTGATCATCAACATTAATTTAGACAGTCTCTTCCTCCTTGCACCTTAATCGGACTGATGGATGTTATGGAGATATGTGAAGACTAGGCTTCCTAAATTCCATGTCTTTGGGACTGATCTCCACCTTGTCAGGACACCGCAATTTCTGCTTAGTGTTTTACTGCCAAGACAGGTCATCTAAACTGTATTTGGCTGTAGCTACCAATCACACAGATTACCACCTTCCTTAACCTGAAGTTGTCATTTATAGTCTTAACAAAACCAACAAAAAAACCCACATGCAAAAATGTTTCTGCCTTTGAAAACCTGGAATTTGATCCTTACTGAATAACCCATCACTTGTTCTAAGTGAGGGGTAAAACACAAGCACAAGGTGGTTACAAAATTAAACTCAGCTAGTCAAAAGATGACTTTGTAACTAGTAAAAATGAACTAAATTGTACTCCTGCTAGGACTGAACTATGTGAAAAGAAGTAAGTTACGATGTTTGTTCTCTTACAGCAAGTAGTCCATCTTAACATAGCAGAAGATTGCATGAGTAAGTTTAAATCCAGTATAGAAAAACTGTGCAAAACTGAACAGGTATGTGAAAGTCATTAGTGTAAATAAAATCTAATGTTTGCAGACTATGCAGAAATAGTCATTTTCATAACACTAATTTTGTAGCTTGTATCTGCCTTTTTCATGGTGGATTTTTTTTAATTTTCTACTCTGAGTAATCATACTGTAAGACTTCATCCCCAAGGTTTCTATCCTGTCAATATTTAAGTCTCTGTTAAAAGACCTACTTTTGCCTATGAGTAATCTAGTTGACCTTCACGTTTTAAAAAAAAATCCGTTTGTTTTTCCCTTTCCCTAATTTCTTGTCCAGTTATGTCTCACCTTAGATTATGAGCGCCTCAGAGCTGGTACTTTCCCTTTCTGAATGTCTAGAAAGCATTTTGTATACTGTGGGCACTACCATAAACAAACAAGCTAATGCTGTTAACCTGAAGTATGAAGTACAAAATCATATTTAAAATGTTGTTTAAGCTTATTCTTTAATATTATGAACATAAAGACTCTTTTACAATAGCAAAATATAACATGGATATGATAATTAACTTTTCTTATAGTGGTCTTTGGTCTGGAACTTGGTAATACAACATTAAACAAAATCTGACCAAACATTTACAATAGTTACAATGTAAAAGCTCTTTAGTTTTGAAAATGTTGATATTCAGGCTGTTAGTTTCATCTGTACAGACAGGGCCCTTACTGACAACTGTGTTTAATTATAGCTGAAATTCTTTGGCAGAGCTGTTTTCTATCAGGATTTGACTGGCCAGCGTGGACTGTCAAAATTGTTTTGCTACAGGGTTTAAAAAATACAAGCTCTGATACCACAGTTGCAATACACAACTATAATAGTTGTTTCAATTGTATAGACAAAGGACCTTTGGTTTAAGTTCAGTGTGAATAGTCATTAGTGAAACTCTTCCATCACAACCACTATGATGATGATGTTTGTAAAGTTAGTGGTAACTAGCTTTTTGCTGGAACTAAATACAGAAACACACACTGATGCTATTTGTTTTAATGACTGGTCAGTAAGACCACTTTGTTTGCTTTTAACTTAGGATTTAGCTCTTGGAACTGATGCAGAGGGCCAAAAAGTGAAAGACTCAATGAGAGTCCTCCTTCCAGTTCTACTCAACAAAAACCATGACTCTTATGATAAAATAAGAGCTATCCTCCTTTATATCTTCAGCACAAATGGTATGATAAGTTGCTTTGTTTTTCAATATGTTATAGATTTCAATACTAGGTTTTAGTGCAGCGGCCAACACTGGGTATGGACCAGTCGTACTAGGCCATGGCAGGGTTAAAAGGAAATGCTGCCCATAACTTGTAGCCTCTTTCTCCCAGATGCCTCTTGAAGAGGTTGCTCATACAGGGCTAGAAGTGATCCAGCACAACGAGCAAGCACATTTATTTTTTACAATAGATTATCTGAGCAGCATCTCAGTACTTGGGATGTGGGATATTTTCTTGAGTTCTTCCTTCCTTACCCAGGTCAGTGTTTAGAGGATTTGGGATGGGATTTGCTGTTAGGTGCATCCTGGGAATTGGAGTGGATGGGGAACAGTGGTGACAGAGACTGGAGAGGAGAATGCATTCCTGAGCTCTCAATCATAAGCATTGAGTAGCAGAAACTTAGATAATGAGATTTGACTTGCCTTTCCTTCCACCTCCATTTCCCCAAAAGTGAATTATTTTTCCAAATGGGACCTTGGAGCATCAAGATCTGCTGTACTGGACCCAGAAATGTACTAATTGCTGTTGGAGTAAAGGAAATAGAGGCTCCTATAGAAATTTGAATGTAGTATCAAAGATTGGCGTGAAGTGACGACATTTGAATTTCCAAGTACACCTCTATCCCAATATAACGCGGTCCACAGGAGCCAAAAAATCTTACTGTTATATGTGAAACCGCGTTATATCGAACTTGCTTTGGCCCCCCTGCTCCTTGTCCCCTGACTGCCCCCTCCAGAGACCTCTCCCTACCCAACCCCTCTGTCCCCCGACTGCCCTGACCTCTATTTCCTCCTCCCCCCCCCCCCGCCGACAGGCACTCACCGGCAGTGGCGGGAAGCGGAGCAACGTGGCCCTAGCCGCGGCGTTCTGCTTCTCGCTGCCAGTGAGTGCGGAGAGGTTGGGGAAAGGATGCTCACCGGTGGCGGGAAGCAGAGCGCTGCGGCTGGGAGCTGGTGGAGTGGAGCGGGCTGAGGCCGGGCTGCTCTGGTTCTGCTGCTGCCGGTGAGTGCGGGGGGGGGAGGATCCCTTCCCCCAAACCCCCTCCCCCGAGCAACATGTCTGGGGCTGGGGTGAGGGAAGTGGAGCGGGCTGCTCCTGACCCCCCGCTAATCACCAGGGCCACTCTGGGCCTGCAGGGCCCCCAAAAGTTCCCACCCACAGCTCCTGCCTACCAGGCCCTGGAAGCCTGCTTTACTGCGTTGTGTGCGAACCCATGTTATATCTCCTTCAGATTCTGAAATAATGGTAAATTTAAAAGGATGGATTTATTATGAACTATCAAAGAAATATATCCTAGTTTTAAATAATCAAAAATCGTATCATGTCTGGGACCAAGAGCTAATTTATCTTAAGTATCATATTTTGAATTAAAAATCCAACTTACTCATTTTTTCTTTGTGGCAAAAGGAACTACACAAGAGAATTTGGACAAACTGATCCAGAATGTACAAATAGAAAGTGACAGTGACATGATAAAAAATTGGGAATACCTTGGTGTACCTGTTGTGGTCTCGGTAAGTGTTAAGTGCTGAAGGCTGGAATGTTGTTGCCTTGGTAATGCTATTTAGGGGCCACTTAGCTGTTCCAGGTACTTAGTGCTGCTTTTCTTGGAGCTCTGATATTATTAGCCCTAGCAGACAATTCAGCAGGCCTCGGTGTTACTCATAAAGAAAGATCACAGGCATGGTTTGGTGACAGAGGCACTCGGTTTAGTACCTTCAGGCACAGTACTAGCATCTCATAGGAGCTATGGGTACACTAACACGAGTGCCCAGTGGCAAGGAATGGCTCAGTCAGCAGCAGGAATTTCTGCTGTCCCCTTGGCTGCACAAAGGGATAAGGCAGGGGTGGGCAAACTTTTTGGCCCGAGGGCCACATCTGGGTGGGGAAATTGTATGCAGGGCCGTGAATGTAGGGCTGAATCAGGGGGTTGGGGTGTGGAATGGGGTGCAGTGTGCAGGAAAGGGCTCAGGGCAAGGGGTAGGGGTGCAGCAGCAGATTGGGGGCTCACGGCAGAGGGTGCGGGAAGGGGCTTAGGGCAGAGGGTTGGGGTGCAGGAGGGGTTTGGGGTGCAAGCTCCAGCCTGGCACTGCTTACCTCGAGTGGCTCCAGGGTGGCAGAGGTGCGCAGCGGGGCTAAGGCAGGCTCCCTGCCTGCCCTGGCCCAGCGCTGCTCCCAGAAGTGGCCAGCATGTCCAGCAGTGGCTCCTGGGGGTGGAGTAGAGCAGGCGGTTCCACCATGTGCTGCCCTCGCCTGTGGGTACCACCCCCGAAGCTCCCATTGGCCGCAGTTCCCTGTTCCTGGCCAATGGGAGCTGCGGGGGGTGGTGCCTGCAGGCAAGGGCAGTGCACAGAGCCCTCTGCCCACCTCACCTCCTCCAGGGGCCACAGGGATGTGGTGCCAGTGGCTTCCGGGAACAGTGCGGAGCCAGGGCAGGCAGGGAGCCTGCCTTAGCCTCACTGTGTCACAGGGCTGGCAATCCTGTGGGCCGGATTGAAAGCCCTGATGGGCTAGATGCGGGCCGTAGTTTGCCCTCCCCTGGGTTAAGGCAAGGTTCCCCGACGTTTATAGACCTGAGACAACTTATGTACCACCTTACATGTTTCATGACAACTGCTTGTTACCTCCCCCTGTACTTTGCTCTAGATGTCTCAGGCAAAACATCCCTATTCACTTCTGTCAAACCCTCTTATCTGGTGTTAGACAGGATGCACCTGGGCTAATTTTTTGGAATGTGTTTGTACACACACTCACTCACTCACTCAGTCTATCTGTTGCTTCTTAGGAATGCCTACGTTTTAGCAACACTAACCGTATTTTTGTCAAGGTCACATATCCGTGAGTGTACTTGTAAGCATCTACTTTAATACATGGCCCGACTTTGGTTCACAGCCTCTAGTTCAGGCCTCAGGTCTTGCATCAGGTCGAGTACTTCAGGCTCTCGTTCTCCCCTACAGTAAGAAATACTGCATTTTTTTCATTTAGCTCTAAGGCTTTTTCTGCAACTCTTAATGTGGCATTCCACACTTTTCTTGGGAGAATCCAGAAGTTACAGAAGTTAATTATTTTGTTAGGAATTCTTGAGAAATTCCCACTGCTAAAATTTGTGACATATGTAACTTTTAAAACAGAGTGCTGGTTTTACACTCGATAGTTTTCAAAGTAGTATCTAACATTTCTGCAAAAATCATGTTATTTTGATGCAAGTTGTTTATTCCATAACTCGTCAAAGTTATGCAGGCTTTGAGTATCTAATGTCTGAACTCTACAGTTTTCTTACTTAAATGATTAGATTCTTAAAATTAAGTATATGACAGGCAGTCCTAATAGTAACCAAAAAATGCAATTTTTTTGTTTTGTAACTTAATCATACTTCCTGGAAAACGCTCTTTATTCCTGTTTCACTGTTCTATCAAAGTATATAGGTGCCTTACAATAAAATCTAGTACAGGGAGGCAGACAGGAGGTAAAGAGTTTGGGGACCACTGCTATAAATCCTAGGCTCCAGCAACTGGGCAAGAATGATATGTGGAGATCCATTAGCTTAGCAATTGTATTATATACACTTCAGTATTCAAACAATCACTTTTTTGGGTAAATATCAATATATCCAGCTCTTTTCTTCTGAAATAGAAGTTTTCAGTACTTAATTTTGAACATAGTTTGATACACATGGTGCAATATTTCCTTAGAACTTTCTATTTTGTTGGGATTGATTTAAAAGAAATAGTATAATAAAACTATAGCCTCTTTTAAAATAAATAAATCTTTTTATTTAGTCTGCTTCTCAGCAACGTAGACAATCAAGGAAGGACCGCTCTTCAGAAGAAACATTTCAGCTTTCTAGATGGACACCTGTTATCAAAGATGTTATGGAGGTAAACTCTAAGAACTAGGTTGTTTCCTAGGTGTAATATAGAAATACTCTTAAGTACTTTGTAAGCTAACAGTTTATCCAAGATCTTTTGAAATGGCAGTTTAGAAGTTGTTAATTACATTTTATGTTCCATAAAATTTTCTTAAGAGGAAAGTTCTTCAGACATGTGCACATAACCACTAAATTTCTAGTTAGTATATTAAAATAGAAAATTAAATTTATAAGGTAAACTTAGTTTTAAGTATAACTGGAAAATAGTTTAAAGCTAGCTGAAGCAAATTAAGGTAGAGAGACATTTGAACTTCCTCTCCAGTGGCTGATAGTTTTGATATTGGGTTCTTTAAATTAAACGTGTGTGTGTGTGGTGGATCTTTAGACTATAGTTTAAATGTTAAATTCATGTAATGGATGCCATTAGTGACCTGGGAAATCCATGCAAAGTCAGTAATGTACTTTGTCTTTAGAAACCTGGGACATACATACATAATTTCTTTGTGAAGAAATTAAGTAGGTTAATGCAGCTATAAATAAAAAATCAAAGTTGAAATCTGAACAATTAAATCAATGTGTTTAAAAATTAGTTAGAAATTACTTCCTTCTGTTTTTCTTCCTCATCATGATACATGGAGTCTGTCACAAATTACTTTCAGCACTACAGTAATTAAATATAGATCTGGTGTGGTGCTTAGTCTTTTTCACAGTAGGAGCACTGGTTCTTGTGAAATCTGTTTGACTTGATTGAAGTTTTAAACCAGACAGCCTTGTCAGGAGTTGAAATTTATGGGGTTTTGTATATGTATAGTGTTTCAAGTTAACATAACTGGTTAAAATGAATGTTTTTTTCCCTTCCAGGATGCTATAGAAAACAAACTAGATTCAAAAGAATGGCCTTACTTTTCCCAGTGCCCTGCAGCCTGGAATGGTTCAGGGGCAGTAAGGTAAATTGTTACAATTTACATTCAGAATAATAATTTACTATTCTCACTGTATTTTCTTGCGTGCATTGTATAATTTTCATTTTGAGAAATAATGCACGCTAGGGGCCAAAGTAACTATTTAGTGTAAAATCTACTGAAAAGCATTTCAGTTCATCTGAAATGATCTGTGGAGCTTAGCTGTTTGACCAGGGGTTCTCAAACTGGGGGTCAGGATCCCTTAGGGGGTTGCGAGCTGTCAGCCTCCACCCCAAACTGCGCTTTGCCTCCAGCATTTATAATGGTGTCAAGTATATAAAAAGGTGTGTTTTAATGTATAAGGGAGGTCTCACTCAGAGGCTTGCTGTGTGAAAGGGATCACCAGTACAAAAGTCTGAGAACCCCTCTGTTTGACCTTCAAGCTAGTTACTTATATAGCTCATAATTGTAGTTTGAGTGCCTCCAACATATTTAAAATAAAACTAACCTCTTTCTTACTAGAATTAAGTCACCTTTTTGGAGAGTTAGCTTGAGTAGTTTATAAGTGGTGGTTTGTGTATGAATTGTGTCGTGTGTGTCTGTATTAGGCTGAAGAAATGGTTTTTTTGCATTTAGTGACCACTCCCATCATTTTTTTCTGAAAAGAGTGAAGTCTGTAGGCTAGGTCTGAGTTTTGTGAAAGTTGTCTCCTGTACTCACAAGCCTCCCCTTACTGAACAATTTAGTTATCCTAGTGGAATTTAACTCTTGTGGAAATTGGTGGCTCTCTAGAGAGAGAGAGAGAGGTGATCACTGGTAGCTAGGTCCAGTCCCATGGAAGTCTTCAAATAGCAGTGACCTTCAGATTAATTCTGTATTCCATGGACAGCTAGCATGGGGAGTATAGTGGCGGGAGGGGTGCTGTTTATATGTTCAGTGAATCTTTGCATAGTACTGGTTAAAGCTATTTTCAATGTGTGGAGTCAGATGTGAGCTGCAATAATCAATGTTGGCTATCACAAATGTTGATCATTGTAGGCAGGGTCTTTGCCTGTAGGATAGGTAGGGGCACAATTTTCTGGCTAGTCACAGATTTGAAGTTGGGTGTCTGTTGGGGCATTAGTAGTTTGCTGACCTATTGAGATCAATGCAGGGCAAATGTAGAGACTGAGACCTAATAGTCCTCCAGCAGCTGTCCCACAATGTCAGCAGTCTTTTTCAGTATTGGCCAGACACCCTTCATCATGTTGCTATTTATAGCTAGGTATTGAGAAGGCTAGAACGGTGATGTTTGTCTGACTTAAAGGAGATGAACCTTTTTTGGGGAAAGGTGTAATTGGATCATTTGGATTCAGAGTTTTCAAGCTTCTCTCTGAGAAGTGTGTGTATGTATATATAAAAAACATAGTCCAAGTGTATCTCAAATTTCTCGCTTGTATTTACTTTTTCCTTTTGTGATAACTGTAGTTTTAGACTTGTATTTATGGTGTAGTACGCTTTTTGTCCAAAAAAAAAAAAATTAAGTAACTGCGACTTCCCTTTGTAAGTCATCCAATTGTAATTTGAGTCAAAAGATATTTTACTACACAGCTGTGAAAAATACTTGTCCAATTTTCTTTAAGTTTTCCTGAAATGGTTAATTAGTCAGAGTTGCATGGAAATTTTCTGAGACCAAGTGGGTAAGATGGTATCATCTTGTTGGACAAGCCTCTGTTAGTGAAAGAGACAAGCTTTTGAACTGCAGAGTTCTTCTTCAGGTTTTGGAAAGGTAGTCAGTATCACAGCTAAATATGAGATGAACAGATTTGTTTAGCATAAGTAACTAATACACATTCTAAGGACCATTGAAGGTGACGTAGCCCATTAACACCTCTGCTGTCATAGGGCCAAAAAGGGGTTAGTGGCTTACAGATTGTTGTAATAATGAAGACCCTGGATTTATGGCTTAAGACCATGATTTTTAGTGTCCAACAAAGTTATGAATTTAAGCTCCCAGTCTCATCTTTTGAAAGCTATAGCAATACTGCAAACATGGAAATTTTCTGTCATTTTTTACTAGTACATTACACTATATGTGGGTGATGAAACTAGATGCAATATATCACTGTGCTTTTATGTGCTCAGTTTTTTTATGAACTATTTTACAGTGCTCGCCAGAAGTCCAGGACTAGTTACCTGGATGACCGAAAGAGTGGTTCAAAGCTGATCGTTTTTGTAATTGGAGGCATCACATACTCTGAGATGCGCAGTGCTTATGAAGTTTCTCAAGCCTACAAATCTTGTGAAGTTGTTATTGGTAAGCCTGTCTAGGGAAGAGGACATAGTAGATGAGATGAGGTGCTTCATTTGAGGCTAATGATGTTTAGTTAAGTGCATATTTGAAAAACAGAAGCATATTTTTCTGTGTCCCCTAGGTCAGTCTAAAAAAGCATCAGATGGCTACTATGCTCTTTTGAAACTGCATCCAGTATCCCTAGATCTGAATTGGTCCTTTATGGCTGTTGTCCTTAGTTTCTTGTTCTAAAAAGACATGTTCCCACAATTACCCTGAAAATCCCTAAAGAAGAATTTGTAACCAATGTGAGACAATTCAGACCTCAGTCTTGCTGCTGAAATGTAGTATCCGAATTTCTAAATTACTGAATCAGATGTATGACTCTCAGGAGTCATGCCACTGAATCGCTAAAGGTACGCGTTACAGTGAATCTCCTAACTACTATTTTTTCATATTTGCATTCACTTGCATCTAGCCCATTACTGAACTTGTTGCAGTTACTGTTACCAGCTGAAACTGGAAAACACAAACCAGAGTAGTGCAAAAATATTACTGACTTAGAAAACTTTTCTGCAGTAATAACTGAAATGGCTTCAGTTTGGCCCAGAATTTTTGGCAGCATTCTTCTAGTTCTAGCCAGGGGTCAATCATTTACTTCTGATGAAGTCCACATAACGCTGAGAATTGTAGTGGGTCCTGGCTGTTTCAAGACACATGCCAAGAATTGATCTTACCAGTATAGATGCTGCAGGAATTATTGGAGATAGTCCTTCTACCAGCTGCTGTTACTCTGTCTAGATAGCCATTAAAAATCTTATCATGTGTCAGAGGAGTAAAACTTCACAGTTTAAAAAAAAAAAAAAGTCTGATGTCCAGAGCTGACTGAGCTGTTGCTCAGAGAGGGCATAATGGTGGCTGCTATTGTCCCAGACATCACAAGAAGGAAGACAGGACACCAGGAATGTGATTTAACTAGGCTGCAACTTTAAGTAACACATCAGGAAACCATCCAGCAGCAACTCATCCAGTGCAGGTCATCTGTCCTTTGTAATCTGTTCTACTTGGTGAATGGCTGCCATCAGCTCCCCTCCCCCACACTCTGTTTAACCTGATCCTAGCACAGCTTCTGGGACTCCATCACCTCGCATGAGGGTTAAGGGAGTGGGGAAAAGGCGTCTCCTTACTGTTCCAGACAGTAGAAGCCCAGCCCCATTCCCTACCTTCTTTAGGAGATATCTCCTAATTTGCTTCCAACTCAGGTTTATCAGAGAATCCTGTTGAACAATAACCTGCATTGGGCACCTGCAACATTGTGACAAAATGCGTTTTACAACCTAGCCAACCTGTTGCCTCCCTGGGCTACTGGGAGGCACGCAAAAAAACTACTCCTCACTGCCCAGGCCACTCCTTCCTAGCCCTTAAAAGGGGACTAGCAAGGTACCCACAGCACAGCCCCAAACCCTGGTCGTCCTCTAATACCAAAAGTGGGGGAGGGAGGAGGAGATCTTTTCTTCCTGGTACTCAGATTATGGCAGCTGTGGGTATGTGGAAGCAAATAAGCTGTACAGAAGAGCACAGCCTATTGAGTACTGATTCTCCACTTCTCAAACCTATATGGCGGGGGGGAGGAGTGGAATCCTTGAAAGGCCCCCAAGGTTTTGTTCTCCTGCTGACAGTCAAAGCCACCCCTACCTTGGGGTGGGAGGAGCATTTGCTTCCATAATCACTGCATGTGCAGCATCAAAATCATTAAAGTAAAGCATTTTAAACTACTTTAACGTATGAAAGGTGCAATAAAAATACTTAACATGCAATTTTGATTTGGTAGTGAGTCATGCTGATGTCTGCAAATCATACATAGTTAGCTGCATCCATCTAAAAGTGTATTCTGTTTTACCAGGCTCCACTCATATTTTGACACCCAGAAGACTGCTGGATGATGTAAAGATGCTTAATAAACCAAAGGATACATTTTGCATTAAGGATGAAGAGAAACTGTAATGTTCACGCAGTACTATTTCAGTAATGATTAACTAAAAATTTATTAAGAGATCACATAATATAAATAGCATGTAAATATTTTAATGGAATTAACTTTTCTGGTGATGTATTTGGGACAGTACACACCCTCAACTAATGGAGTATCTTTTTATAATTTAAATTTGCTGCTTTTCTTTGGGAGTTAAGGGCAGGAAGAAGAGGGGAAAAGTGTCTAACACTTTGTTTTTATATTGTATTGGGTATGGACACCATTTCATGGTAAAGTGCTTTCTGAAACTGGCATTTTTACCACTGCAACAAATCATTGTAGAATTTAAGAAATCATCATGTTTGTGTGTATATATACTAATGGCTTTTTCAGTAATTATGATAGCTTTCTATGCTGGAAACTGGAGAGGTTTTCTGAAATTGCCATAAAAGTACCTAGACTTAGAAGTTTCAGAGGCAAAAGCTGTAAATATAAGCATATGGTAAGATTATAAGTGCAATGTCTCTTGCAATATGTAAAATTCAATTAAAACAATTTATATTAAAAATGGAAATTTATATTGTCTTGTGAAAAATCCTCGGGTAAAATATGACTGACTGACTGGTGCTTTCAGATGGTAGATTGTGAGGGGAGGGGAATTATGGAAGTACTAAAAGAAATGGTTTTACTTTCAATAAAGAACTCCGGAGAACGTGCTTGTCCATCTTATATGAAATGTTTCAGTGCATGAACACTACTGTTTAAGACTTTCCCCATGTTGTTCTTCACAAAAAAAATAAGCAGCTTTGATTTATTAAAAAATTTCCCCACTATTGTGTGTGCATGGTACATCTATTTTGTAAATTGAGTTGCTTGTGAACTAATCTAATGAAGATTTCCTGGTGACAATTCAGATACTTCTAAGCCAAGTTTTGGGGGAAATCTCACTTTTTCTACCTTTTTATTGCCACTGCATTGCAAAGTACCCCCCTCTTGTTTGTTCATGTCATGTGGGCAGTGAAATACTCCAGTGTATTTTTTTTTAAAATAAAAGAGTGGTTGTGAGTAGTTCGTCAGGGTGGAGAAAAATCATTGTTTGTCCATTTCAAAATTTAATTTTAAACAGGTTTATTTTTAAAAAGGAAAAGTATTTAAAGTGTAAACTTACTGTAATTAACCATTTGAATAAAAATATGCAGAAAAGCTTTTACTTTTGGTCTCCATTTAGTTGGCAGACGCAGAAGGAATATTTGTCTTTATTTGGTTCATTCAAAGTTGAAAAAGTAGAAATGCCTATTTTTCCTTTTCCAGTCTATGAATGAAAACAAGGTTGGAGAGGATAAGATCTAACTTTTCAAGATTTAAGGACATGGGGCCAGATTTTCAACCTAATTCCCATTGGTTTAAATAGGAGTTAGGTCAGAGGTGGGCAAACTTGGGCCCATGGGACCCTCCTGCCCAGCCCTTGAGCTCCTGGCAGGGGAGGCTTGCCCTCGTCCCCTCCCCTGCTGTCCTCCCTCCCCCGCAGCCTCAGCTTGCTCTGCCGACAATGCTCTGGGTGGTGGGGCTCCGAGCTCCTGATGGGGAGTAGGGAGTGGTGGGGTTGGATAAGGGGCAGGGGACTCTGGGGGGAAGTCAGGGGGTTGGAGTCCCGGGGGGGCAGTTAGGGGTGCAGGGTTCCAGGAGGGGGCGGTCAGGGGACAAGGAGCAGGGGGCATAGGATGGGTCAGGAGTTCTGAGGGGGGCAGGAAGTGGGAGGGAGTGGACAGAGGGTGGTGGCCGGGTTCTTTGGGGAGGCACAGCCTTCCCTACCCGACCCTCCATACAGTTTCAGAACCCCGATGAGGCCCTCAGGCCAAAAAGTTTGCCCACCCCTGAGTTAGGCACTGGACATGCTTGGGCACTTTTAAAAATCCCACAAGGTGCCTATCTGCATTCTTTAGGAACCTAAATACCTTTGAAAACCTGGCTCACAGTGACCAGAGACAGTCTTGTCAATTCACTAGCTACAGTTAATGCTGCCTTTGCCTTTAAAGCTTTTTTTTTTAAACAAAACATGTTTGGATACACTTTCTTCTCCCTTATGTATCCAGCAGAAAGGTAGTTTTTATTTAACTAACACCAGTGTGTTTGTACTTTTTTAATTGAATTGTTTCTCTCCAATTACAGCTTGACATAAAATCTAGAGTAAAATAAAGCTAGTAAAAAATCATTCACCATTTTCTATCAATGTAAAAGTTAAGAATCTGAATAAATGTGTATCGGTATAGTGCAGTCTCCAAATATAATGTTGTTTTGCAACTAATTGCAATGGTAATGAACCTTTCTTTAGAACAACTAATTTAAGTACAAATGCAAAATGTGATTAAAATCAATTTGAATCAAAATTTCCGGCTCCCTGACTTAAATCATGATAAAAGTTGATGTTTTAAAATAACTGCTGGAACAACTTGTATAGTGGGGGTGCTGAGAGCCATTGAACCAAACTGTTAAACCCCATATATGATGGAAATCGCTTTAAGCCAGGGGTGCAGCAGCACCGCTAGTTCCAGCACCTGTGTTTTAAAATGCTAATGTGAATCTGTCCTCTTGGGTTTGTTTAAATGGTCTGCACATAACAAAACCAAGTGGTTTTAATAACCTAAATCTAGCATTCTGCTCTTAGAATCCTAGACTGTCAGGGTTGGAAGGGACCTCAGGAGGTAATCTAGTCCAACTCCCTGCTCAAAGCAGGACCAATCTTGCAAAAAAAACCTAATCCAAACAGTGGCTAATAAGGATGATTGCCAGTTAACTGGCTGTATAGAGATGCTTGACAACAAGAAATCTGATTACTACACTATAGTCCAAAAATAATTATTGTAGTTTCTCATGTTTGAGTTGCTGCATGCTATGTAAACTAAACATTTACCTTTTTTTAAAAAAAGAATTGCTCAGCTTTACTGCTTCCTCTAGTCACTATCAGTGGCTAGTTTTAACTAATGGAGAAAATAGCTATGCTGCAGTTAAATTAAAAAAAACAAACACAAAAAAACTCGCATATAAACCATAAACTGTTAGTGGCTCACTCCAAAGCCAAAGTAGGGGGTGTAAAACTTTACATGAATTGTGACCATCTCCCTATCTTATGGGACATGGAATCATGGGACTGCAAGGGACCTGGAGAAGTCAGTCCAGTGCCCTGCACTCGGGGCAGGACTAAGTATTATCCAGATCATTCCTGACAGGTGTTTGTCTAACCTGCTCTTAAAAATCTCCAGTGACTAGGCAATTTATTCCAGTGCTTAATCACCCAGACAGGAAGTTTTTCCTAATGTCCAACCTAAACCTCTTTTGATCCAATTTTAAGCCCATTGCTTCTTGTCCTATCCTCAGAGGTTAAGGAGAACAATTCTCCCTCCTCCTTGTAACACCTTTTATATGCTTGAAAACTGTTTTCATGTCCCCTCTCAGTCTTCTCTTTTCCAGACTAAACACAATTTTTTTTCAATCTTCCCTCATAGGTCATGTTTTTTAGACCTTTAATTACTTTTGTTCTCTGGACTTTCTCCAGTTTGTCCACATCTTTCCTGAAACATCACCCAGAACTGGACATAATACTCTAGTTGAGGCCTAATCAGCACAGAGAAGAGCATAAGAATTACTACTTGTGTCTTGCTTGCAAAACTCCTTCTAATACATCCCATAATGATGTTTTACTTGGCAACAGTGTTACTCTGACTCATATTTAGCTTGTGATCCACTATGACCCCCAGATCCCTTTCTGCAGTACTCCTTTCTAGACAGTTATTTCCCATTTTGTATGTGTGCAACTGATTGTGATTGTTCCTTCCTAAGTGCACTATGCATTTGTCCTTATTGAATTTTGTCCTGTTTACTTCAGGCCATTTCTCCAGTCTGTCCAGATCGTTTTGAATTTTAATCCTATCCTCCAAAACACTTACAACACATCCCAACTTGGTATCATCCACAAACTTTAAGTATACTTTACTCTCTATGCTGTCATCTAAATAATTGATGAAGATATTGATGTTGATGAACAGAACCAGATCCAAAACTGATCCCTGCAGGACCCCATGCATTATGCCCTTCCAGCATGACTGAACTACTGATAACTACTCTCTGGGAAAGGTTTTCCAACCAGTTTTGCACTTACCTTACAGTAGTTCAATCTATATTGCATTTCCCTAGTTTGTGTATGAGAAGGTCATGTAAGGCTTTATTAAAAGCTTTACTAAAGGTAAGATATATTACGTCTACCATTTTCCCCCCATCCACAAAGGCTTGTTACCCTGTCAAAGAAAGCTATCGCGTTGGTTTGATGCAATTTGTTTTTGACAATCCATGCTGTTACTTATCACCTTATTATCTTTCCGGATATAGAAGTTAAGATGACTGGTCTGTAATTCCCTTTTTATAGATTCGCACTATATTTGCCCTTTTCCAGTCTTCTGAAATCTCTCCTGTCTTCTATGACTTTTCAAAGATAATCACAAATGGCTCAATTATCTCCTCTGTCTGTTCCTTGAGTATTCTAGGATGTGTTTCATCAGGCCCTGGTGACCTGAAGACATCTAATTTGTCTTTTTAACTTGTTCTTTCCCTATTTTAGCCTCTGATCCTGCCTCATATTCACTGTTAGACATCCAATTGCCACCAACCTTCTTGGTGAAAATCAAAACAAAGCAATCATTAAGCACCTCTGCCATTTCCACATTTTCTGTTATTTTTCCTCCTTCATTGAGTAACAGGCCTACCCTGTCCTTGATCTTTCTCTTGCTTCAAATGTATTTGTAGAATGTTTTCTTGTTACCCTTTGTCTCTAGCTACTTTGATTTTGTTTTGTCCCTTGACCTTTCTATTTTTTTCCCTACATACTTGTTTGTTTATATTCATGCTTTGTAATTTGACATAGTTTCCACTTTTTGTAGGATTCTCTTTTGATTTAATTGAAGATCTCCTGGTTAAGCCAAGGTGTTCTCTTGCCATACTTCCTATCTTTCCTATGCAGTGGGACAGTTTGCTCTTGTGCCCTTAATAATGTCTCTTTGAAAAACTGTTAAGTGTCTTCAATTGTTTTTCCCCTTAGACTTGCTTCCCAGGGGATCTTACCTACCAACTCCCTGAGTTTGCTCAAGTCTACCTTCTTGAAATCCATTGTCTTTATTTTGCTGTTCTCCCTCCTACCACTCCTTAGAATCATGAACTCTACCACTTTGACCCAACCTGCCTTCTACTTTCAAATTCTCAACTAGTTTCTATTTGTCAAAATCAAATCTAGACACTGTATAGATCAACACTGTTCAGACATCTAACCCACCCCTAGACGGGGAAAAGTAAGAGCAATCTTCTTCCAAGTATTACTCAGTATACTTGACCTTTGTTTCTTTTAACTATGGTCACAATCTTTGAGGCCAGTTATGAGACCCCTTCCCCTTTACCCATGCATATTTGGGAGTTAACTTCACACAGTAGGGAGACTATATTTTGTTATTAAAAAGAATGCTAGTAGTATCTGTGTGTGATTGGTCCTTAATCGCCAAGCTTCATGCACTAAATCACTCTCGCTGCATTTCAGAATACATATACAATCAGTTTACTAGTGACAAATTTCTGTACAGGCATAGGAGAAGCTTATCCCCTTTGTAATTTTTTTATTCATAATGCTGAAATAGCTGAAGATTTGTATTTGCTGTTTGATGAAAGCTAAATCCAACAGATACTAAGAATGTCACTGTACAGATACTGACATTTTGGAATATAAACAGGAGTGATGAAAGAGCATTTACTGAGATGCACAAAAGCAGATGCTTAACAATACAGCCTATTCTTTGTCAATTTTTGAAGGACATATTCAATGTCACAGCTAAAACTCATTTTTAAAAGATTATCCAGAAACAAAGGGTTTCAGTTATTTCCCTCTGTGATGTTCAGTAACAAGCAGGATACAGAGCTGGGCTGTGATACTGCTGAGAACACACTGATGAATGAGATGTTCTCCTCCTGGCCCCAAATTACACATTTTAGAAACTACAGCTAAGCTTGGTTACCTAGAGCAATTCTATAAAGAACTACCATTATTGAAGGCTGAGGGAAGTCAGCTCTATAGCCATTCTTCACTAACAGATGTGACAGCTTTCAAGGGCTCTTGGTTTATAAACCTGGCACTCTGTTTTTCTGCTCTTAACCTGTTGCTAATACCACACATAAGGGCAGCTGCTCTCCTAACTTTTGTACTATTTGTTAATCCAATTTTTCACAACTCAGAGTTCTGTCTCTACATTTCAGCTGACAAATTCAAATGTTTGAAACAGGCCAGCTAAAAAACTGCTTAGTTCGATGAGTTTTGACTTTAGCTAGATCTTCTGCAACTACTTGTACCATTCGTTCTGTAGTTTCCTTCAAACTGGTTGCAGTCTGTATTGCATGATCCAAAGTAGAGTTTAAAATCTGTTTAGGCATAAAACAGTCAAATTGTAGGATACTTACTATCTACTTTATCCGATAATACACAGGCTTAAAGATAAATGTTCCCAAACAAAAAAACAGAAGGGGAAGGAATGTTCAATCTGGGATCTATGTAACCTTTTCAACAAGTCTACCTTATAGTATTTGGAAAAGTGCTGCAGGTAGGGTTTTGGGTTTTTTTGGCAGGGCAGGTGCTTGTATTCTTCTGTGTGCAGCCTATTCAATGGCCACATATAAAGCTGTGTACGTAAGAAATCTATGCAGAGTTGGGGAGGAGGATGTGTACTGGATGGTACCAGGTCTGCTATATGTCATTCTCTTCTACAAGTACAAAGAAACTCTTTTAGCATAGAGAAGGGTGGCCCTCAGCCATTAATCAAAATAAGGGGAAGAAATAGCAGAAAGGGCTAATGTAGCCTGCTGATGCAATGGGTGCACTATACTAAACTGAGGGGACACCAACCACCCACAGCATCACCCTCTGCCCCAGTCTCCAGGGGGGTGGGAGGTGGCTGGAGAGCTTGCCCCACAGCAACAGCTCCTGGCCCGCAGGACCAGACCTGAGTGTGCTGCGACCCCATGTGCTGCGACCCCACATGCCACGTTGCAACACCCAGAGAGGGGAGCCGGGCAGAGTTCCACGCAACAGGAATTGCCACTATGGAGTAAGCTTGTTCTATAATCCACCACCGTGCCTCCCCTCGGCCCTGGACTTGGAGAAGCGTATGTCTGGTTGTTTTTGGATATTTGGTTTCATGATTTCTGTGTCTGCAAATGCACTCATGAATCCACACTAAAGCCACCCGAAGTAATGCACACAATCTTAATTGTAGTAAACATTAAACGTTTGAGAATGAATCTATTCCCTGCTGTTGGTTAAAAAAGTATGGTATGATACACCCACAAATAAGACATTGAGCGTATCTAAAATAATACTTTAGGTAGTCGTGCAGTAAAAAGGTTAGCAAAGTATATCCTCAAATGACATTTTTAAAGTCTGAAACATCAATTATATTTTGCCAATAAATCTTGATGAAATAAATTCCTCAACTGAACCATAATGAAACTGCTTGTCCATGAGTGGGGACCCTTTTCTCCTCTGATAGGAACTGGAAGAAAAGGATTGGGGGGGGCTGTGAGCTATTTTGGAAGGAATAGGGACCTAGTTAAGCATCTGGGCAGTAAGAGAGCTCTCTGAGGAACAGGAAAAAGAAGCAACAACCTGAGGGCTTGTGGGTATCGGGCTCAAGAAGAAAGCCCGATGACAGCCTGACAGCGAGAGCAAGCTGGAGGTAGCAGCTTAGGACTTGACTGTGAAAAGCTGAGTAGGAACACAAGCTATTGATAACAGGGAACCAGCAGTACCCTGTAGTTAAGAAGTGTGATGCAACTGCATATACAGACAATAGACAGGACAACATGAGATCCGACAACAACACAACTGAATTCTGGCACCAGGAAAGGGGTGGACTGGAAGGACTAGGACTGAGAAGCCCTTCAGGTTACTCTGACGCTGGAGTTCCGTGGTGGCCTGCCACAGGGCTGAGTTAGCTAATACTTTATATTTTTTAACTGTTTAAGCCATTGCACCCATGGGATTTCCACACTTCCATAGTGCTAGCCCTAAAGTATCCTTTTCCCACTGCATGAGTGTGGCATTTAGGAGCCACCTAGGACTACAGTCTGGTGCATGAAGTGCCTAGAGTGTGACTGCTTCTTAGCTTGTGGTATGTAAAGCGTAACAGCCCAAACTTTAGCCCCAGATCTCTGCCCCAGCTTTAGCCCCTTTACTCTGTAAAAGGACCCCTAAAATCCCTGTATCCACCCAAGGGAGGATTCGATTCCCCCAGTGCAGGTGCTGCAGGCAATAGCCATAAGACTGCCTTCCAAGGATCCTCTCCCAAGTTCTGGTGTAAGGGGCATACAGCAGGAGGGAGAGGTGTGTTGAGGGAGAAGCTCTAGATATAGCACTGTGGAGGTTCTGGGAATCCCAGGGAGACTGCTGTAGTATAGACAGGCCTCCAGGGCTGTCTAAATGTCTACCTCCTGTCTATCTAAGCTGCAAGTTTTGTACTGTGGATTTTAGAGGCATAGCACAGAATCTCACTCCAGATCTCTAAGAGTGACTGATGTATCTCAACTTCCTCACTGGCACCCTGCAGCTGGGTCAATGACAATACTTATGCCTTGTGCTGAAGTTTATTTAGGGATATATTGGTTTTATTGGAGTAAAATGGAACCTACTATTCTTCTTCGAGTGCTTGTTCATGTCCATTCCAACCAGGTGTGTGTGCGCCATGTGCACACCAGCCAGAAGATTTTTCCCTTAGTAGAGTCCGTAGGGTCGGCCTGCCCCCCCCCCCCGGAGTCGTGCCTTCATGGCTCCCACTATAGCGCCCTGCCAGCCCCCCACCCCCTCAGTTCCTTCTTACCACCAGTGGCGGCTAGCTGGAACATTGCTCACTGTTGCTTGCAAGTGCTTTGGCAGGGTCCCCTGTAGTTAATTGTACAAGAGTGTAAATTGTTAGTTAGACATAGTTCTTGTAGTAGCTTAGTTTTGTTTGGGGGGTTCCCCTCCCAACAATGTCTTCCCCGCCTCTGGGGTATGCCCGGATCCCCAGGGTTCAAATTCTGTGAGGACTGTGCAAGTTTATGCCCAAGAGTGACCCACACTTCTTGTGTGCGATGCCTCGGGGAGAGTCACCAAAAGGACACATGCAGGATCTGCAAGAGTTTTCGACCTAGGACCATCAAAGACCGGGAGCAGAGACTTAAGATCCTGCTGATGGAAGCAGCACTGCGACCCCATTCTGACCCCGGATCCGCAGAACCCACGCTGAGTACTTCATCGTCAGTCCGCAGTGCTCCTGGCGCCGACGGTGTGCGAACCAGCACCAAACAAGGACCCTAAGGACCCTACTTTGTCCCTTCTAAGGGATATGAACATTTATATACCCACCCATCCCCCGACTCACTGGTGGTTGATGCGGCCAATCAGTGGGAGCTTCCAGGGCCCCTCCCCTAAGAATAGGGAGGTGAAAAGACTCGACCTGTTCAGCAGGAAGGTCTATTCTACTGGGGAACTACAGCTCCGCATCGCGAACTAACAGGCCATCGTGAGCAGATATGCACACAACACCTGCGCTGCGATAGCCAAGTTTGTGGAGCTCCTGCCACAGGACTCTCGCACTGAGTTCTCTGCATTAGTGGAGGAGAGAAAGCTGGTCTCCCGAGCTTCCCTACAGGCGGCATTGGACGCAGCAGATGCAGCCTCACATATGACCACCACGGGGGTTGTATGAGAAGGGGCTCCTGGTTGCAGGTCTCCGATCTGGCCCACGAGATCCAGCAAACAATCTGGACCTCCCCTTCGAGGGTCCGGCCCTCTTTTCCAACAAAACGCATAAGAGACTCCATAGTCTGAAGGATTCAAGGGTCACCCTAAGATCTTTGGGGCTCCATACACCAGCCACCCAGTTTAGGCATTTCCGGCCACAGCCTCCCTCCACGTTCTGCCAACCCCAGAACCACCAAGATGCTCCTCACAGGAGGAATAGGAGCGGTAGGAGGTGGCAGCACCCCTCCTCGGGGCAGAGCTCTGGCCAGCCCAAGCCTCCACCCAGCCCCTGAATCCCTTTTAAAGGTGCGGTCGAGGATGGCACACCAGTACCACAACTGGATCCAACCCCTCTTACCTTCTCGTCCCATCTATCCCCTTTCTACCATGCTTGGTCCCATATCACCTCGGACCGCTGGGTGCTCCGCACGGTAGAGAGGGGATACTCCATCCAATTCTGGGCCCTCCCACCCTTCCACCCCCCTTCCCTGTCCCTCTTCAGGAACCCCTCTCACGAGCAACTTCTAATACAGGAAGTTCACACCCTTCTGTTGGTAGTGGCAGTGGAAGAAGTTCCTCAGGAGCAAAGGGGCAAGGGCTTCTACTCCCAGTATTTCCTAATACCGAAAGCCAAGGGTGGCCTCAAACCCATCCTGGACCTGTGGGAGTTCAACAAGTTTGTCAAGAAACTCAGGTTCCGCATGGTCTCCTTGACCTCCATTATCCCTTCATTGGATCCAGGAGACTGGTATGCCGCCCTCGACTTGAAGGACGTGTATTTTCACATAGCAATAGTTCCACCTCACAGATGATACCTCAGGTTTATGGTGAACAACAGCCACTATCAGTTTACTGTTCTCCCTTGTGGCCTGTCAGCAGCACCTCATGTTTTCACCAATTGCATGGCAGTCATCGTGGCGTTCCTGCGCAAGCGGCAGATACAGATTTTCCCGTACCTCGATGACTGGCTGATCAAAGGCCACTCCAGATCTCAAGTGGAGGAGCAGGTCGTCTTCATAAGAAGGACCTTCCTCAAACTAGGTCTCCTTCTCAACAAGGCCAAATCCACACTGTCCCCAGTGCAGAGGATACAGTTTATAGGCGCAGCGCTAGACTCGACTCAATCCAGGGTGTACCTCCAGGTTTCAGTCTCTGGGGGACATCATACAAGGCCTCAGACAGTTCCCTACGACCACAGCAAGAAACTGCCTGAAACTGCTGGGGCATATGGCCGCTTGTACCTATGTAGTACAGCATATCAGACTCAGACTTCGCCCACTCCAGTCATGGCTAGCATCGGTTTATTGACTGGCTTGCGACACTGGACAGCATTGTAACCCTGCCCTGCCCAATATTAGACTCCTTCCTGTGGTAGCTCGACCCACAGGTAGTTTGTGCAGGAGTGCCCTTCACCAGCCCCCAGCCAGTCCTCTCGTTAGTGACAGATGCCTCAGATCTGGGATTGGAAACACATTTGGGAGACCTCAGGACACAAGGTCTTTGGTCTCAGGCGGACCTAGCTCAGCATATCAGCATTGGAGAACTGAGAGTGGTGCGCCTGGAGTGCCAGGTTTTCAGAGCCCACCTATCAGGCAGATGTGTATCAGTCTTTACGGACAACACCACGGCAATGTTTTATATCAACAAACGGGGGTGCACACTCCTCTCCCCTGTGCCAGGAAGCCCTCATGCTGTGGGACTTCTGTGTGGAGCACTCGATACACATGCAGGCATCATACCGCCCTGGGATACCGAATGAGCTGGCGGACCGTCTCAGTTGATTTTTTCATGGCCACGAGTGGTCCCTCTGGCTGGACATAGTGAGCTCAAATTTTCCATCTCTGGGGCTTTCCCCAAATAGACCTGTTAGCCACGTGCAGTAATAGGAAGTGTCAACTATTTTGCTCCTTTCTGAATCACAGACCGGGTTCCATCATGGATGTGTTCCTTCTTCCATGGGGGGGGCTGTCTGCTTTACGCGTTCCCACCAGTCCTGTTGGTCCACGAGGTGCTCCTCAAGAGCCACAGGGACCGAGCCCTAATCATATTGATAGCTCCGGCCTGGCCATGCCAGCACTGGTTCACATCACTCCTAGAAATGTCCGTGGAGACTCCGGTCACCCTAACGCTTGTCCTGGACCTGATCACGCAGGATCACAGCCGCCTCCGGCACCCGAACCTTGAGTCGCTCACAGCATGGATGCTCCATGGCTAAATGCCGTGGAACTGTTCTGTTCCGATCAAGTCAGACAAGTTCTCCTTGGCAGCAGAAAGCCCTCCACAAGAGCACTGTACCTTGCCAAGAGGAAGAGGTTCTCTCTCTGGTTGGAGCAGCACCATCAGTCACCGACGCTTGCCTCAGTGCCATTTATACTGGACTACCTCCTCCATCTTAAACAATAGGCTCTGTCTATGTCGTCAATAAGGGTTCACTTGGCCGCCATCTCCGCATTCCATCAGGGCGCAGATGGCCACTAGTCTTTGCAAACCCTGAGGTTAGCCATTTTCTTAAAGGTCTTGATAGATTCTACCCGCAAACACGACAGCCTATCCCTGCTTGGGACCTTAATCTGGTCCTTTCCAGACTTACGGTCCACCATTAGAGCCACTGGCAACGTGCTCCCTGCTTTATCTTTCATACAAGGTGGCATTTCTGGTGGTGATAACCTTAGCTAGGAGGGTGTTAGAGCTCAGGGCCCCCTTACACGGTATTCCATAAGGACAAGGTTCAGTTCAGGCCTCACTCGGCTTTTCTCCCTAAGGTTGTCTCCCAGTTTCACATCAACCAGGACAACTTCCTCCCAGTGTTCTATCCTAAGCCACATTCCTGCCGTAGGAAGCAGAGGCTTCACTCATTGGATGTCCGCAGAGCGATGGCCTTCTATATAGAGAGAATTAAGCCGTTCCGAAAGTCCGTCCAGTTATTCGTAGCAGCGACAGACAGGATGAAAGGTCTCCCTATCTCATCCCAACCCATCTCGTCGTGGATCACGTGCATTCGGGAGTGCGAAGGTGCCCGCTCTGCCAATCACCACACACTCCACCAGAGTTCAGGCTTCCTCAGCAGGTCCCCTGGCGCAGGTCCCCACTCAGGAAATCTGCAGAGCGGCAACGTGGTCCTCAATTCACACTTTTATGTCACACTATGTGATCACGCAACAGGCCAGAGACAATGTGGCCTTCAGAAGAGCCATACTCCAATCAGTGGATGACTCCAACCCCACCTCCTGAACTCTGGCTTGCAAGTCACCTGATTGGAATGGACATGAACAAGCACTTGAAGAAAAAACGGGTACTCACCTTCTCATAACTGTTGTTCTTCGAGATGTGTTGTTCATGTACATTCCAATACCTGCCCTCCTACCCCCCTGTCGGAACAGCCAGCAAGAAGGAACTGAGGAGGTGGGGGGGTTGGCAAGGCGCTATATTGGGTGCCATGAAGACGCAACTCCAGGGAGTGCCCAGGCCGACCCTATGGATGCTACTAAGGGAAAAATCTTCCGGCTGGTGTGCACAAAGCGCGCACACACCTGATTGAATGTACATGAACACCACATCTCGAAGAACAACAGTTACGAGAAGGTGAGTAACCGTTTTTTTACCAAAGAAAAAAAAAAGTTAAGAATAAGCCAGTTTCAACATGACAAGTTAATAAATAACACACTTTCCTATTTAAAAGCCAACAAGACACCTTTAGCACCCCAGAAGGCACTGAATGCAAGACAAGTTGGATTATAATCATTAGCATTTATAGGTGAGATTTTCAAAAGTGCTACTGAAAGTCAGTGGGACTTGTTGCTCCTGAGTCACTTAGGCATTTTTTAAAATCACACTCTAAATTCTTACCTTTGTGTCAGTATCACTGATGTGTTTGTTTCTAATATTGATCATTGATTTACTTCCATAAACCTTCCTGCTGGCTAGGTATTGAGGTGAAAAGATAATTGTATCATGCATCCTTGAGTAGCAGGTTTTGGGAGCCTCTAAATTGTCTCTAGAAGATAATACATAAAATATACACAAAAACATTTTATAGTTACAAAACAAAGAAAACGTGTTTAAACAATGTGTATTCAATGTCTATAACTTTTCAGCATCCTTGCATCATAATTTCAGTAGAGTTCTTCATTTGTTTAATCATAAAATGCAACTGCATAGTTAGTGTTACATTTATAACATACATCTTATAGTCACAGACAGACAAACCTTCAGGGAAGGGGCAGGGAATCTGGCATCACTGAATTATCCTCATTAGAATTTTCAGCACTGCCTGCTCTGGAAGCAGGAGAGAAGCCCCAAAAGGTTTTCATTTATTTAATTTCTTTGCCAATCTTCCCTACCTCCCCACACATTGTCAACACTATAATTAAGAATCTGTCCTACTTCATATTCTCCAGATATAATTTAATGTTTGTAACAAGCAAAAATAGGAAAAGACATTTCTGAGATGGATAAACAGTACTGCAATATCATTATTCCTACAGACAACGTGGCTGTCACTCCCAGGCTTGTTATCTGGAATGATAATGACACATTTAGTTAATGAAAAGAGACCTCTTGGGTGGATACTATACTAAAAGAATTAGCAAATTTTCTAGTTCTTCCATGTAATTGAAAAGTTTCAGAAAAAAATCTAGTTAAATCTGTTCAAGTTTGCATTTACATTATATATTTTACTTTCATTAGTGACCACTATTCTAATATATAGTACATATTGCACAGGTATGGAGTTGTGCCACTTATGACAATAGTGAATTTGGCCCACACTATATATCTTCAATAGTCACATCTTCTGTGGTACTAATTTATATAAAGCTACGGGTAACACTTACTTGTCAGAAAGACTGTATACAAATGGATCTGGCTGCTTACTTGTAAAAACACTATCAGCGGCAATTCTTTTCTTCTGTGAAGAAGCTGAAATTTTGGAGGCCATAATTAGAGTAAACAAAATAACACAAATATATAGAAAACTATACTTTCTTATATTTAGCACCAATGACAGAATAGGCTGTTTTTTACAAGTGTGTGCACTCAGTTACCCTGGCCAACTGCAGTAATGGAACAGACAAATTAGGCATGGAATTACGTGCACACAACGGTAAAAGATCAGAGCCAGTTGTCTGTTTTCAGGTATGTTACCAGAGAGCATCATACAGTCTTGACGCTGTACCTCTTTCACCCCTATGAATTGCAGTTAAATACTAATTGTTCATCAATACAAAGTGGATTTTAACAGTTTACTATTCCACAGCCTTGGCTCTTAGAATCCTTGTGTGACCTGACATTTGCTAACTCAGCAGCTCCAGCCAATGGAATCCCTGCAAAAACGTCTCCACTGGAAATGCCCACTCTAGTTCTAATTTTCATTAGAAAAATACCAACAAAAATATCCAAAAGATGTATTTCTTTACTAAATCAATTTAATAATTAAACTCAACATTCTTTAAACATACACTGTGTTGCCAACTCGCATGATTTTATCATGTCTTTATCATGACTGCTGTTTGTCTTAAAGCCCCAGTTGCAGAAGTTTTTTGAATACGTGAGAATCTCAGATTTCATTTAAAAAATTACCTTTCTAGCCCTTATAATGGTGGAGAAAGGAATGAAATTGTGGCCTAAGTGCACCCAAAATGCTTCAAAATGAGAAGAATTCAAAATTGTATAATTTTTTAAAATCTTAAGCTTTTTGTGGGGGCCTGACTCATAATTTTTAAATATTTGAGGCTGGAAAAACTGCATGCAAATGCATCAACATAATCTATAGGAATAAGCCCTGTAGGGCATGATGGTTCAAAAAAACTGATATGAGAAGGATAATAAATCCCGAAAAGGCAAAAGACAAAGGAGGAGGAGGAACACAGTAAAAAGATTAAATGAAATTGAAGTAAATGGCAGGGAAAGAAGGGGTAAAGGTGAAATATCTTGATCTGCCTCTCATCTTTTTTCCTTGCCCCCTCTCCTGTACCGAACATATTTCATTCATCTCTTCCACCTTTTATTATGTGTGCTATGTATAAGCTGTGGAAGTCAAGCCACTTTCTTTAACAGCTCCCCTCTCCCATGCTCTGTACAGACATTTAAGAGGTCCCCTAAATATCAAACAGGAAAATGGAAAGGAGCACCCATATTTTAGTTATAAATAAGTTAATAATGTTCTGAGGCACCCACTAACTGGAAGTCAAGACAGAAAGAGAAAACAGTCCTAGATTGTTCCTGGGGATCACTGTGCCATTCTTTTCCAATGTACTATGCAATTCCAAAGTGCATTTCATTGGTGCTCTATGTACATAGTTTGTGAAGCACTTTAGAATCCTGAATTAGGATAAAAAATAGCCCAGCCCTAGATGCATTTCTCGAATTCCCTGAGTACAATGTTTGCTTCTCATATAATCATTCCAGCAGTGTTTCAAAATGCTGGGCTCTCTTCCTTGTCCTTCCCTCTTTAGCCAAATCCATTTCTTGATCAGATCAGACTTCAGTTTGTTATTGTACATTTAATTATACTATCTATACAACATGTCTTTAAAAAGTTTGCACATGATCTATAAGGCACAACTGCAAAATATTTTTAACATAATTAAGACCGACAGTCTGGGATCATTTACCAATATTATTCTTGTCAGATTCCCTGCTGCATTTGTTTCTTTGACAACTAGTGCAGAAATTTATATTCCAATCCCTGTATTGTAAGGCTGTTGAGAAAACATACTGTAATGACAACTTAGCATTATCATAATAAATGCATTAATACGATGTAGACTTACATAACACTTTACATTTCCAACCAACATGTAGAAACATTAGCTAATTTATATTCACTCTGGCCCTGTAAAACAGATAACTAACCTCATTTCCACTGTACAGATGGGGAAACTGAGGCAGAGATTTAAGAGACTTCAAAGGTTGCCGCGGGTGCTGGACATTTCTGAAAACCAGGCTCTCATTGACTTGCTGAAGTTAACACAAGTCAGTGGCAGAGGTAGCATAAGAACTGAGGAATTCCTGTTCATTGCTCTAGACCAGGGGTCGGCAACCATTCAGAAGTGCTGTGCCGAGTCTTCATTTATTCACCCTAATTTAAGGTTTCGCGTGCCAGTAATACATTTTAATGTGTTTAGAAGGTCTCTTTCTATAAGTCTATGATATATAACTAAACTATTGTTGTATGTAAAGTAAATAAGGTTTTTAAAATGTTTAAGAAGCTTTATTTAAAATTAAATTAAAATGCAGAGCCCCCCGGATCTGTGGCCAGGACCTGGGAAGTGTGAGTGCCACTGAAAATCAGCTCGCATGCCACCGTTGACACGCGTGCCATAGGTTGCCTACCCCTGCTCTAGACCATACTGCCTGGGGGGCCAACAGCAAATGACAGCCGGTATAGGGTGGTGCCTGTGACCGGCATTTTGAAGACGTTGGTGGAAAACTGGAAATGTTATCGCTCCCACCAAGTGAAAAATAGATAGTTCCACTGTGGTTGTGGAAGAGCTGAGGTGAGGCTAGAGTTGGGTTACTGCTCCTTATGTAGCTTTGGAACTAAATATTTAGTTCTTCTTTGAGTGCTGGTCCCTATGTGTATTCCACTCACGGGTTTGTGCCATGTAAAGCTTAGCTTGTGGTTTGTAACCTTTTTGGCAGCACACTATACTCACGAGTTGAACTGAGGTTTTTATTTCTACATAAGGTGCAGGACTGAACAAATTCTTTATAATTCCCAAGTTTAAACCAATCTCTGTTTCGCCTATTGCACCTCCAGCTGAGACCTGCAAACAAGTGATATAGGTAAAATATTACACTGCAGACAACATTTCCACACAAACATGTTTTAGGAGCTATGAAACCACTATACCTTTGCTTTGTTCTTTTAATCCGGCTCTACGTGTTTTATAATTTTTAGTCCTGTGTTCCAGAAATTCATCACTGTGTGACTCATCAAAGGAATCACAGAATGAGATGTCTTCTGAATCACTGCCTAAAAAAAAATTGTATCAAAGAGGTCTTACATAAATATTACAGCTCATAAGCTGGGTGCTGCAGCTTTATATCTAGGTACCCACATGGCTTCCAGCACTCTAGGATCTGAGTGCCTCACAAACATTAATGAATTTCTCCTCACAACATCCCTGTGATGCAGAGAAGTATTATCATCTCCATTTTACAGATGGGGAACTGAGGTACAGAGAGATGCAGTGACTTGCACAAAGTCACACAGGAGGCCTGTGTCGAAGCTAGGAACTGAACTCAGATCTCACCAGTGTCAGGCCTGTGTCTTTACACAAGACAAGTCTCCCTTGCCATAAGGTTGGACCCTGCCTCTCCAAAACCAGTGGAAACCAAAGGGACCACAAAAGAGAGTTGTCAAGGTTCCTTCCCCACTCTGAACTGTAGGGTACAGATGTGGGGACTGCATGAAAGACCCCCTAAGCTTATTTTTTACCAGCTTAGGTTAAAAACTTCCCCAAGGTACAAACTTTGCCTTGTCCTTGAACAGTATGCTGCCACCACCAAGCGTGGTAAACAAAGAACAGGGAAAGAGACCACTTGGAGACGTCCCCCCCAAAAATATCTCCCAAGCCCTACACCCCCTTTCCTGGGGAAGGCTTGATAATAATATCCCCACCAATTGGTACAGATGAACACAGACCCAAACCCTTGGATCTTAAGAACAATGAAAAATCAATCAGGTTCTTAAAAGAAGAATTTTATTTAAAGAAAAGGTAAAAGAATCACCTCTGTAAAATCAGGATGGTAAATACTTTACAGGTAATCAGATTCAAAACATAAGAGAATCCCTCTAGGCAAAACCTTAAGTTACAAAAAGACACAAAAACAGGAATATACATTCCCTCCAGCATAGCTTATTTTACAAGCCATTAAACAAAAGAAAATCTAATGCTCAAAGCAGGACCAATCCCCAATTTTTGCCCCGATCCCTAAATGGCCCCCTCAAGGATTGAACTCATAACCCTGGGTTTAGCAGGCCAGTGCTCAAACCACTGAGCTATCCCTCCCCTAATCTGAAATCAAAGCCAGAAACAGCTCATGCCTTCCAATTCACACATGGAGTACACCCACCTTCACAGTACCATCCTCGACCCAAGACAGTGCAGTGGGAAGGTGTGGAGTCAGGGTTGGCTGGAAGAAAGACTGCCTGTTGTCATTCCTCTGCCCCCAGAAAAGTTAACTGAACTTCTGAGGGACCTGGGAGTTGCCCTGCCCAATGGGCCAGGGGACATCCTTGGCAGTGTGACTCCAATGGAATGCGGCTATTAAGGAGTTGGGGAGGCCACAAGGGGTGTATGAAGGATCCATGAGGTTTAAGATGGCATTTCCACCCTCCTTCCCAGCAGCAGAATGATGGGGAATAATCTCTACAAGGGATGCCAGGCAGATATTTTCTCATAAAAATCTCCACTTATTTTGATGGGGGAGGAAATAATCTGGCCCAGAAATTTTGGAACACTTTATGGGCCAACTTTTCAAACTACCCTCAAAGATATGCTGAAATTGGGAGTGCACTAGTTAGCATATACAAATTCCTGCACATGCATGAGCAAAATGGAATTTTGTACACATCAGTGCCCTTCTACACATGGAAGTGTCATGGGTGCTTTTTTGAAAGCCTGTTTGAAAATGGGATCCTAGTAGCTTAGCCAGTAAAGTTTGATAAAAGTCCATTAAAATCTTCATACTCTGCAGGTGTTGTGAGATGCATCAAATTATTACAAGGACTCAGTAGTAGTTAAATATAGTTCTGGCCACTGTAGACAATCTCTACTTACAAAGGTTAGTGCCTGACAAATCTAGCGCCACTGCTTTTTCTTGAATGAAGACTGAATACTGTCCACATTTTGACTTTTCACTATCAGTTTTTCTGTCCTCTGTGTTTTTATTTCTATGTGTTAAAAAAAAAAAAAGTACAAGATCTGAATTAAATGTTACCAATTGTATGAAAAGTTTTTGAGCATATTAATACCTATGCTATTAATGTTGCCAAATTATTAATTCAGGAAAAATAGATTTATTCATAATATGAAATATATCCATACTAAATGGTCTAATCTTGGGGAAAAATCGTATTACACCTTGAATTATAGTATGGATCATGGCATTAAGACCCTGATTCAGCAGAGCACTTAAACACGTGTTTAAAGTTAAGCCTGTGAGTAACCCCACCTCTATTCAGCAAAGCACTTAAGAAATTTTAGGTGTGTGTATTTATATACATGTGCACACATGAACACAGACAGGCACAAAGGTTCGAAAGAGACAGTTACTCTAATAACACCCTCTGGACTATTTTTGAAGTTTGTTAATGTTTTGTGTTGTTTTAGAGCTTAGGGTGATAGTCAGCACATGCTCACCTATTAACAGAACAGGAACAAAGTTCTTTGTTTGCATTTTTTGACCAGTCTATTTTCCATTTGGGATATAGAGCATCATCATGTGCATTTGAACAGTTTTCTACCCTTCCACAAAAACAATGATCTGATGGATGTGCTAAATTGCCTAAAATGATCGGGGGGGGGAAAGAAAGAATTGGAAAGTGGGTGAGTTTTACCAGAGTTATGAAATGATACAAATTATTGAATAAAAGCATTTTCCTCTTGCTCCTACCTTGCTCTTGCCGCACATTTAGATTAATAATTTTGTGTTCCAAATTGCACATGTTGTAAGGCTTGGTTTTGGGTGGAGATGTCATTTGCCAGAAGTTTAAATTCCTGAATAAACAAGACAGCATACAGAAGTACTGATGTGACAAAAGTAAGTAAAACAACCAAACTTAATGCTGAACGTCTACACAAATGTATCTTTTTGACTTGTATTTGTCACTGTTCAGCCAAGTCCCTTTTTTAATCTGGATGTTGGATTTTGTCTCCAATATTTTTAATATGATTGTAGAACTAATTTATTACTTAACTTTTAGTTACCAGGGGTGAAAATTCACTTCCGTGCAGAAGGCCAACACAAGACCTATGCTCTACTTGAGCCCTCAAAATAATGTGTAAGTGGAACTTAAGAGATGTAGAAGGCCTTGTGCTGGTCCTCTGGATAGGGTTGTATTTCACTGAGTGAAATGCTATCATTGAAGTCACAGGGAGTTTTGCCATTTTTTAGTGGGGTCAGGATTTCATCCTGTGTGATTTATTGTCTGTGTAAAATGTAAAGACACAATAATCGTTTCCAACCAGATCTTCCCATGTTCAAAAACAACCAGCTTTACTTTGAGTTGAGCCTACCACAATGTATTAAATTTCAGACATCGTCAAACAGCAAAACTTGTATCCATGAATGCATACACTCATTTTGGCTGTTTACAAATATTTTTAATCAGCCAAAATACATAAAGCACTTACCCTTTTGGGTTTTCTTGATCAGTGTTAAATTTTTGACTTAATATAAGCTGCCTGTGGGATTCCAGGCCTCCAGACCCATTGTCTGCCTCAGGTGGAAGGAAGCACTGCTGTACCACAAACCAGAACGTAAGATTTTTATACATTTATTCACATTACTGTGTATTTCTCAAGAAATACAGTGTGAGCAACACAAATATTTGGATATAATTTTTCTATGGTTTTGACAATGCTTTTTCTTGCTTTATCATCCACTCACAATTCTAGGCTATGTAAAATGGACTGCACAGAGTCTGCACATTATCCCCATTCATTATCCCCATTCTATAGATAAGAAAAGTGAGACACAGAGGTGAAATGACTTTGTTAGTGTAGGTTTCAGTGGATCTGGCATGGATTCATGTTTTTTTCCTCACTTCCTAAACAAGCACAAATGATACTATTTAAAATCCAATAGTCGCCTGTGCAACTTCTTCCAGAACAGTTCCCCTCAGAATCAAAGCACATTATGAATGTTTCACAAGTTTTGACAGCAACATTCCTAAACCTGAATCATCTTACTTGGCATTTGTGCAGCAGTGTTCTGATGTACTGTAGTACCTCAACAATGACAATGGTTGAGTTGCTTTGTTGTGCAAATTTAACATTGGGACAGTAGAATATAATCTCATATAAATTATCCCATTGGATAAAATAAACAAAAACGCTCATCCAAAAAATGTAATTATGTATGAAAATAGACCTTGTACCATTACATCTGAAGAGTGCTTATTTGCTAGCAGTCCTGATTTTTCCAGGGGCTCCATTCCTTTTACATAGACAGATGCATCTCTTTTTTGTAATCCCAATTGGCTAAGGGAAAAAAATATTTTTATTTTAAAATACTGTTTTTTCGAACACATTTAAAACACTGTTTTTTAGCAAGATGATCATCATATGATTCTCCAACAGGGCAGGACTCAACAGAGATATAACTCACAGAAATACTAATACTCTGCTGAGTCACCAAAAAATGGAATAGGTAGTGATTTTGGATATTGACATACCTTCAACCTGTTTTTAAAAAAATTACTGAAGGGAATAATTGTGCACTGGCAGGATGGTTGGATTAGGTCTCCCAATATGTCTTTTCCATCTTGAATATCTATGGTGACAATCGAGGCCATGCAGTGGCGTGATCTAACACTCAGCCAAATTAATGAGATTCTTTTGACTTCAGCGGACATTTGATCATATATGCTCAATAAATGTCTTCATATTTAGTAAGCAATTATAAATCTATTTTAGTAAATGACTTCAATACCTATCACAAAGTTCAACACTTACATTTCAGGAAAAGGATCACAATTGTCATCTTGTAAAGAAAGCTGACTGTTTTTCTTTGGGACCACATCAATAGCATGACTTCTCTTATCTCCCTCGGTCCTTTCATTATTATGAAAATTCACTTCAGTAGCAGACCTTTCTGGAGGATCACTAATGCTTGAAACCACAGGGCTCTGTACAAAGTAACCATATTATAGATAGCATAAAGACACTTACAATAGATTATCATTTACTGTATTCCCTAAAAATCTTGCCTCCTGCAACCCAAGATTTCCTGAATATCTATGCAATTCAGGATTCAAAGGAGGACTCATCAGAATTCATATGGTATGTCAAACAATTAGTATAGTTAGAAAGCATTTAGCAATCTATTGCTTGGTCACATGTACAACAGTGGGAAACCACCAATTTCCATTTTGCAAGCATATGATCCAGGACTTAACATTACCACTTCCACCAGCTTTCTGTGACACACAAGAATTTGATCCTTTGAGCCAAACTGTGATTTTTATGAATCTCACTGAAGCAGAAAGTAACCATTTTAATAATTTTTTTCTATTAAATGACAGTGATTCACTTGCAAAAACTGCTTTTCAATTTTTGCATAGATTAGAATATTTTGATTTTCTGAATACAAATGTTATTTTTTTTCCACTGAGACTGGGAATCTTTTCCCCCAACACAGCTGTAGTCATATATTTAGGTTTTGATCAACATGGCTAATGAGATATCTTAAAGTTTAAATTCAGGAATAAAATATATTACTTTCTTGAATTAACATTCTGCATTGTAGCAAGAAATTCACACTTAGAAACATAAGGGCAAATTCTCCTCTTGGGTATACTTGCACAACCCTATTTTAATTAATGGGGTTTGCATCAGTGTAACTGAAAGAAGAATTTGGTCTGTAGATTATAGAATTTGATGAGTTACCTCACGAAGATGAGAACAGGATGAACACGCAGATTCACATGGAGTGAGCGAAGGAGACGTAGGAAATGTTGTGAATGAAGATGGACATGGACTATATATATTGTCATCAATTTTCTCTTTGACATCTTCAAGTAGCATACCAAGCCTAAATATTTCCCCCTCCACCTTTCTAAATCCAAATACAAAACACAGAGTTATATAATCAGCCTTTTAATAAACTTTTGGTTTTTTGTATCTCACTGCAGTATCAAAGTTGCAGCACTGTCCAAAAATAAAACAATACCATTACAAAATTAAATAGATTAAATGAAACCACAGTTACCTGCTTGAATCTACAAAAAGGGAAATAAGGACAATGCGGGGAATTATAAACCAGTCAGCTTAACTTCAATAACCGGAAATATAATAGAGCAAATAATTAAGCAATTGGCAAACACCTAGAAGATAATAGGGTGATAACTAACAGTCAGCATGGATTTGTCAAGACCAAATTGTGTCAAACCAACTTAATAGCTTTCTTTGACAGGGTAACAGGCCTCGTGGACGGGGTGAAGTGGTAGATGTAGTATATCTTGACTTTACTAAGGCTTTTCATACAATCTCGCATGACCTTCTCTTAAACCAGTGGCCCCCAAATTATGGGGCACGCCCCTCGGGGGGGGGGAGAGGAATGTTTGGGGGGGTGCACTCCCCATGGAAAGCAGGGAGGGAGTGCAACCCAGCACCGCTCCACCCCCAGCTCTGCTCCTGGCCCCAGCCTCAGCCTCGGCCCCCTTGCCCCTGCCCATGTCCGAACCATCCCCTGCCGGGAGCCATGGCCCTGCTCCTGGCCTGGTTCCCAGTGTGTGTGTGTGTTTGTGTGGACTGGGGTAAAAGGGGCATGACCCTGAAAAGGTTGGGGACCACTGTCATAAACAAACTAAGGAAATACAACCTAGATGGAGCTACTATAAAGTGGGTGCATAACTGGCTGGAAAACCATTCCCAGAGTGTAGTTATCAGTGGTTCATAGAATCATAGAATATCAGGGTTGGAAGGGACCTCGGCAGGTCATCTAGTCCAACCCCCTGCTCAAAGCAGGACCAATCCCCAACTAAATCATCCCAGCCAGGGCTTTGTCAAGCCTGACCTTAAAAACCTCAAAGGAAGGGGATTCCACCACCTCCCTAGGTAACACATTCCAGTGCTTCACCACCCTCTTAGTGAAAAAGTTTTTCCTAGTATCCAACCTAAATCTCCCCCACTGCAACTTGAGACCATTACTCCTTGTTCTGTCAGTTGCTACCACTGAGAACAGTCTAGATCCATCCTCTTTGGAACCCCATTTCAGGTAGTTGAAAGCAGCTATCAAATCCCCCCTCATTCTTCTCTTCAGCAGACTAAACAATCCCAGTTCCCTCAGCCTCTCCTCATAAGTCATGTATTCCAGTCCCCTAATCATTTTTGTTGCCCTCTGCTGAACGCTTTCCAATTTTTCCACATCCTTCTTGTAGTGTGGGGCCCAAAACTGGACACAGTACTCCAGATGAGGCCTCACCAATGTCGAATAGAGGGGAACGATCACGTCCCTCGATCTGCTGGCAATGCCCTTACTTATACAGCCCAAAATGCCGTTAGCCTTCTTGGCAACAAAGGCACACTGTTGACTCATATCCAGCTTCTTGTCCACTGTAACCCCAGGTCCTTTTCTGAAGAACTGCTGCCTAGCCATTCGGTCCCTAGTCTGTAGCGGTGCATGGGATTCTTCCGTCCTAAGTGCAGGACTCTGCACTTGTCCTTGTTGAACCTCACCAGATTTCTTTTGACCCAATCCTCTAATTTGTCTAGGTCCCGCTGTATCCTATCCCTACCCTCCAGCGTATCTACCACTCCTCCCAGTTTAGTATCATCTGCAAACTTGCTGAGGGTGCAGTCCATGCCATCCTCCAGATCATTTATGAAGATATTGAACAAAACCGTCCCCAGCACCGACCCTTGGGGTACTCCGCTTGATACCGGCTGCCAACTAGACTTGGAGCCATTGATCACTACCCGTTGAGCCCGACAATCTAGCCAGCTTTCTATTCACCATTCAACCAGCCCATACTTCTTTAACTTGTTGGCAAGAATACTGTGGGAGACCATATCAAAAGCTTTGCTGAAGTCAAGGAATAACACGTCCACTGCTTTCCCCTCATCCACAGAGCCAGTTATCTCGTCATAGAAGGCAATTAGATTAGTCAGGCATGACTTGCCCTTGGTGAATCCATGCTGACTGTTCCTGATCACTTTCCTCTCCTCAAAGTGCTTCAGGATTGATTCCTTGAGGACCTGCTCCATGATTTTTCCAAGGACTGAGGTGAGGCTGACTGGCCTGTAGTTCCCAGGAACCTCCTTCTTCCCTTTTTGAAAGATGGGCACTACATTAGCCTTTTTCCAGTCGTCCAGGATCTCCCCCAATCGCCATGAGTTTTCAAAGATAATGGACAATGGCTCTGCAATCACATCCGCCAACTCCCTTAGCTCTCTCGGATGCAGCGCGTCCGGCTGGCCCCATGGACTTGTGCTGGTCCAGCTTTTCTAAATAGTCCCGAACCACTTCTTTCTCCACAGAGGGTTGGTCACCTCCTCCCCATGTTGTGCTGCCCAGTGCAGTAGTCTGGGTGCTGACCTTGTTTGTGAAGACAGAGGCAAAAAAAGCATTGAGCACATTAGCTTTTTCCACATCCTCTCCTACTAGGTTGCCTCCCTCATTCAGTAAGAGGCCCACACTTTCCTTGACTTTCTTCTTGTTGCTAACATACCTGAAGAAACCCTTCTTGTTACTCTTAACATCTCTTGCTAGCTGCAACTCCAAGTGTAATTTGGCCTTCCTGATTTCACTCCTGCAAGCCCGAGCAATATTTTTATACTCATCCCTGGTCATTTGTCCAATCTTCCACTTCTCGTAAGCTTCTTTTTTTGTGTTTAAGATCAGCAAGGATTTCACTTTTAAGACAAGCTGGTCGCCTGCCATATTTACTATTCTTTCTACACATCGGGATGGTTTGTTCCTGTAACATCAATAAGGATTCTTTAAAATACAGCCAGCTCTCCTGGACTCCTTTCCCCCTCATGTTATTCTCCCAGGGGATCCTGCCCATCAGTTCCCTGAGGGAATCAAAGTCTGCTTTTCTGAAGTCCAGGGTCCATATTCTGCTGCTCTCCTTTCTTCCTTGTGTCAGGATCCTGAACTCGACCGTCTCATGGTCACTGCCTCCCAGGTTCCCATCCACTTTAGCTTCCTCTACTAATTCTTCCTGGTTTGTGAGCAGCAGGTCAAGAAGAGCTCTGCCCCTAGTTGGTTCCTCCAGCACTTGCACCAGGAAATTGTCCCCTACATTTTCCAAAAACTTCCTGGATTGGTTCACAGTCAAGCTGGAAAGGCATATTGCGTAGGGTCCCACAAGGATCAATTCTGGGTCTGATTCTGTTCAATATCTTCATCAATGATTTAGAAAATGGCATAGAGAGTACACTTATAAAGTTTGTGGAGGATACCAGGCTAGGAGGTGTTGCAAGTACTTTAGAGGATAGGATTAAAATTCAAAATGATCTGGACAAACTGGAGAAATGGTCTGAAGCAAATAGGATGAAATTCAATGAGGATAAATGCAAAGTACTCCATTTAGGAAAGAACAATCAGTTGCATACATACAAAATGGGAAATGACTACCCAGGAAGAAGAACTGTGGAAAGGGATCTGGGGGTCATAGTGGATCACAAGCTAAATATGAGTCAAAAGAGTAACACTGTTGCCAAGTAAAACAAACATCATTCTGGGATGTATTAAAATAAGTGGTGTAAGCAAGACACAAGAAGTAATTCTTATGCTCTACTCCATGCTGATTAGTCCTCAACTAGAGTATTGTGTCCCGTTCTTGGCACCACATTTCAGGAAAGATGTGGACAAACTGGAGAAAGTCCAGAGAAGAGAAACAAAAAGTGATTAAAGATCTAGAAAACATAACCCATGAGGGAAGATTGAAAAAATTGGGTTTATTTAGTCTGGAGAAGAGAAAACCAAGAGGGGACATGATAACAGTTTTCAAGTATATAAAAGGTTGTTACAAGGAGGAAGGAGAAAAATTATTCTCCTTAACCGCTAGGGATAGGACAAAAAGCAATGGGCTTACATTGAAGCAAGAGCGGTTTAGGTTGGACATGTAGTCGCCTGTGAGCACAGTGTGACCCTGGGAAAAAGTGGAGAGCACTTTTAGGTCTGTTGTCTGAAGAAGCTTTGCTGTAAGCTACGAAACTGCTTCTTTTGTTCTGAGCTCCTCCTGTGTTTGGAGAAGCAGACTCCTTGCACATTCCTTGTAACTAAACAAGACTGCATCAAAGTTAATACCAGACTCCATCAATTTCTACATCCAACTGGAACATCCTCAGGGCCCCAAAATTTAACTAAGGTCGAAAATGTGCAACAATGAAGTGAGCTGTAGCTCACAAAAGCTTATGCTCAAATAAATTGGTTAGTCTCTAAGGTGCCACATGTACTCCTTTTCTTTTTGCGAATACAGACTAACACGGCTGCTACTCTGAAACCTGTCAATATTACTTCTGTACCTCTCAGGGATACTGTGAGGATAAATAAATTAATTAATGACTGCCAAATACTCATATACTATGGGAGCATAGACATACTATTTAGCAGGCAGCTCTGACCTGTCGGGATCAAACTCGCCAACGCTTACGGCTTTGCGATTGTAGTTCTGTAGCAGTAAACCACGATGCTCCTCCTTAGTGGCTAAATATTTCCGTTCCAATGTTTCAAGGTATCCTCTTAGTTCCTTTAATACCTTCACCAATAAAAGAGATTTAAATAATGAATGACTTTGCTATTTAATTGGACAGAACAATTATTAACACTCTGTAGTCCACAGCAGATGTACAAATAGAGGGTTAAATTGTGGGGTCTTGATTCAGGTCTTGCTCAAACAAAACTCATAATAACTTCAATGGCAATTTCCCTGAGTGAGGGCTGCCTTCATAAATAGTTTGGGTTAAGATTTTCAAAGGAGTCATGGAGATTCAGACACATATTGTCAATCTCAAACTTGGCCTTTTTCATGCCTATAACTTAATTCTGGAACGGAGGAAAGGGTTTAATTTGTTATTAAATATATCTTTCTGAAGAACACTGAAAATTTCACTACAATAAATACAGGTCCAATGTCATTTAAAGCACATTTCAATTCCCTGCAATAGATGTGAAAAATATAATTTACCAAACAGCGATCTTGCAAAGGTAAGGCCTCCTGTATTACACATTTAGAAAATTCTTCCACCTTCAATAGAAAATTGGTAGATTTTATTTGGGATTTTAGATTTCATAAAAAGAAACAAGAGCATCAAAATTAAGTAGGTAGTGAAAAAAATCTCTTTCATATTACTTTAGCTTTCAGTTGCTCTGCCTGCTCCTTTAGCATTTGAGACATCTTTTCTCCTTTTGTTGTATTTTCCATCAAGTTATGATTTAAACAGTGTATTTCTGCTTCTGCACTGGCTGACAGTAATGATGAAATCATTCTCCCAGATTGTAATCCTATATAACATAATGAAAATAAAGAATAAAGTACCAACTGGAATTTCTGTATACAGTTTTCCAGATTATTATTCCATTAATCCAGGGGGACTGAACTAGATGACCTCTCAAGGTCCCTTCCAGTCCTATGATTCTATGATTATGGAACAGAATAACAAAGTGCACAATTATGTAAAATAAGGAACCTCTGTTATTTGTATAACCACTGTAATTTCAACTACCTGCAAAAGATGCTTGGGACAAATCAAGCATAGGCTGGATAGGAACAGTAAGGGGATGAAATATAAACTCTTCAGAAGCTGCACCCATACATCTTGAGTGACTGGAAAGGTTTGGATTAGAAGAAGCTGAATGAGGATATATCTGTTAAAAATATACAAAACAATATTTAAAAATAAAACAACAGCTTTATATATAAAATATTCACTTGGAATGCTAAAAGGAAACTATTTTAATACTGTATATCCTTACAGAAGTTGGTTAGAGTTATTTAAATTATACATAAAGAATATGGAATAAGTTATTTTTCACTTTTTATTAACATATTAAAAAGTGTCAGAATATCCATGTTTATTTCCCATAAAGACACTAAGTTATGAACATGTATGTTTCTAGTTTGCCTATTCTCCCTGTATGTGTTTTAGACATCTAAATGTCTCAAGTTACTTAGCCAAATCTATCTTTAGAGAAGTTCTAAAAATAGGAACAACAATATAAAAGGTTGTTTAGTAGAATATATGCTTCATATCAGACCCTTCGAGAGAAAATATACTGTACTAAGAAAAAGATCTCCTAAACAATTTATCTGATTTTATAATATTCTGGTAGATTTACCTTAGGATCAAACCTCAAATGATCAATACGATTCTGAGCCTCAGCATGTTTTGTCAGCAACTTGCATTAATCCAGAAATAATAAAGAAAAAAGTATTAATGTGTTGTAATAAGTCTTCCTTATATACTAATGCCCTGATCCTACAAAGATTTAAGCATGTGCTTAGCTTTATACATGTGAGTAGTCCCAATGACTGAGTCTAAATATGAAAAGTGACTGTTAAGTGATCTAGTTACAACCAGAATAAAGGAAACCCTAAAATATTGGAACAAATCATTTAAAGGAATCAGTCAGGTAGCACAGGTGATCCTCAAAGATGTTATAAATCTTAAAGATCCATTGGCAACATCACTATTGATGTAAATGGGATCTGGGTCAAACACAATATGAAAACAAACCTTTAATTATTTCTTTAAGATATTAAACATTTAAATTAAAATAATTTTGGTGGGATTTAAACATTTTCCTACAGTGTTAGAAACAACATTTTGCAAGTATGTGAGAATTAAAAAATGAAATTGACTATAGCCAATTTCATAATATTTTGAAGGGAAACTTTTAAATTATTAGTAATGAAGGTATCACTCCATAACATTATAAAATATGTCTGTTTATGGAAGTGAAAGCCCAATCCTACAAACCTTTACTCATGTAAGTAATTCTTAATTAAATTAGTAGAACCGCTGACTTCAGTGGAACCACTTTCATATAGGACTACTCCTGTTAGGCTTTTCTGGACTCTCTCTTTCACTTCCATTGGCATTAATATTTTATTAAATCCTGAACGGATATCTGAAAAGATCTCATTTACCTCTAGCTGTTGTAAAAGTTCAGGAATTCTCATTTCTTCTTCTTGATTCTTTACTTCAACAGAATCAAAATAATTCATAGTTTCTAAAACATCGTTCACAATTGCTGATTTACCAATCAAATTAGGCGAGAATTTGGTTCTTTTCATTATGGGAGCTGATTTATCACTGCTATTTCTTTTTGGTATTTTGACTTTTGGAGCAACTTTAGAGAAGTCAGGAAGACAATAATTAACTTGGCCTTGGCCATATTTGAGTTCATGAGAGGAACCTGTTCCTTCAAACAAACCTTTTTGATAACTGTGATTTTTTCTTATGTTTTGGAAATTATTTGTATCTTCATTTTCAGCTATCAACTGTGAATTTTCTTGTATGCAGTCTTTCTCATCACCATAAGAAGTAGCTCTGTCATCTATAACAAATTTATTTTCATCTAGCAAATTTTTATCTTTGTAATCATCTTCAGATGTTTCTTCTTGTCTGTTCAAATAATAGTCTTCAAAATACTTTGCCCATTGTTCTGTTAGTAAAGTGGGCTTGGTGCATTCTGAAATCCTAGGTTTAGTGAGGACAGTTTCATCAACACTTTCAGTAAAGGATGTCTCTGGGATAGTCTCACAATCAATTAATTGGCTTGCGTTTGATAACTCTTCTTTGGAAAAATGACGCAAAAGAACATCAGAAATTTTTGAGTTGGTGAAATGTTCCTTCCTATCTGGGCTGCTAAAAGCTCCAACTGATAATTCTGTCTCGAAAGACATGCCACTCACAGGAGCTTCCATTGCCATTTCAATCATTATTCCATTTGTTCTTGTGGCAGGTGTACGGTGGCTGAAGACCTTTCCTTGAGATAGCTGTTGTCTTTCATCATTTATTTCTTCTTTTAAACTTTTGTTAATTTCAGAACAAGTCAAATTTAAGAAATTATCAGAAATGCTTTCTACAGAAGCACAGGCTTTCAAATTCTTTGATTCATTATTGTGGCGATACGTTTTTTCTAGGTCTCCATCATAAGGTAAGTCTTCTTGCTCCTCATCAGTTGCATCCTCAGGACAGTCAAAGTTATCTAATAATATGTTATTCACTTTGTTTTTCAGTCGGTCAGGTTGTCTGCTTTTACTTGTCCTAATCTGTACGTCTTGATTATACTCCATTAACATGTCATTAGTCCTCAGCTTTCATGTAGAGCTTTTACTATTGTATGTATTAAGTTCTGTAATACATGAGAAAACTAGCTCACATTTAAATATATCTAACAATATATTAAATAAAAGCATAAGCATATCTCTTAGATCTGATCCTGCAGTCCTTCTCCACACAAACTTCCACAGTCTTCAGTGGGAGACATGTACATAAAGGGCCTGATTTTCCTCTCGGTTACATTGCTACAAATCAGGATCAACTCTGTTTCAGTCAAGAGTTACCCAAATATCAAATTACTTGGGAAAGGATGTGGCCCACAGTCTATAGTACCAGGTTATTAGCCTTTATTAGTTTGTAAACTGCAGTGTTTACAAACTAAATAAAAATGAATGAAGTTAGTAATGGAGCCAAGAACAGTAAAAGCACCTATATTTTATGCACAACAAGGGCCAAGATCAGCATAACATGAAGCTGGATTTTTCTACACACATGGTTAGAGTCTGTCCCCACTAAAGCAGTAAAGGCATCTTACCCAGCCAACTACCCATATAGCAGCATTGGGAGAAGAAACAGCAATCTTCACATAATGAAATTGCATCTTGCTGGTCATTGTAGACAGCACAACTCAGAGCAGTTTAAGTGCAATGCGGTTTGCTATTGGTTACCTTAAGAAACATAGCTTTCCTAATGAGCTGGAATTCAAAAATTCCTTTAATTGCACGCTGAACACTTCATATGAGAATTTATGTGGTTGCTTTCACTTTTACAGGTATTATTTTATAGGTATTATTTCAGTGCTGACAGTGTGTTGTACAAACAGGTACAGAGATATTGAGTAATAAAAACTTCAGGTGCTGGAAAGGAAGAGAGGAAGTTAGGAGCCATCCCCCACCTTTATAGCCTCACATAAGTGTTCTAAATGTGTGAGGCTTATAATTCTCAATCACTTATTCTGAAAGGATTCTGGGCACATGCTGACTCCTCTATTGACTTCTCAAATCATAAAATGACTCTCTCTTCCCTGTCTCAGTGGGACTGGCACAGGAGGAGGTAACTCATCAAGTAATCCTCCCCTCTTCCTCTAGCAGCTTGGCCCCTCCAATTCTAAGGCCAAGCCTGACTATGGGTGGAACTTTAAAGGTACTCAGTGTTGGCATACTTTTACTCCAAAGGTAAAATTTCCAAGACCTTGGACTATAAACTCTTTGGGCCAAGGACCATCTTTTCATTATATGTGCGTATGGAGCCCAGCACAATGGGGACCTAATCTTAATAAGAGCCCCTAGCCATTACTGCTATCATGATACTTTACTAGGAAAGCACTCTTCCACATGCCTCTATAAATAGCAGAATAATGTATACACCAGAATAATACAATGCAAAACATATGTGTCTTCGGCTCCCTTCACACCAAGAACTGTTACTGCTGCTTTAAGGAAGGTTTCCAAAGATATTTTGAACCTTTGGGGGCACATATATTATCTATCTGCTAGAAACAAGACAAACATGGGGATTTAAACAGATAACTTTTCTTTAGACAAAATGAAATTTACTGTGCAATACAATTTCATTTCTCATCCTTCACCTCACAGAGCATAACGCGTTTCTCACACATCTGTACTCACGGATGATTCCAACAAAGCCTCTTTCTTTTTATCCATTCCTGTTCTCTTGTACTTTGCCACATAAAGTACTGTAGATTCTTTCAGTACACTACCCAGCAATCTTCTTAGCCTCACAAAGTGAGGAACGATATTGTATAACTAATTCTCACACCTTATTTGAAAGCAACATAAACTTCAGCAGAAACAGAAGCAAACTTACTTCAGTCATTAAAAATGTTGACTTGAACAGAATTGCTGCAATAAGTGGACAAAATCTGAAAAAGCTACAGTATAAATACTCCCTAATACCAATTGTAGATGAATGGTTACATTTCCTAGACCACTGCTAGAGTTATAGTAGATGCTCTGGAAATTTATACCTAAGGTAGGTATTAAATTTTCCAGTTCTAAATGCTTTAGTCTACACATGTGACATAGCTCTCTGTTTCACAGTGGGTGCATTTGGTTACATCGGTTGTAACCCTATCTCTAAGGCAGCCAGGTGAGTACAAGTGCAGTTTCTCAATAAGTGTAACTATATACCTTGCTATTTAATATTACTGTTCCATTCAGTTATGGTTCAGTGGTTTCAAAAAGGCCCTGCAACACAGCAAACAAACATTTTCCAGTTCTTGGTGGGGACAGCAATTTAGATATATTATTTCTATTTGTTTTGTAGAGGTTATTTACTTTATTTTATATATTAAAATATATAAAGTGTTTTTAATTTATATTATCTCATTCTTAGGCCCCAGCCTATGGTGACCCAAGACCAGGAACAAATGTTTGTGGGGGTGGCTAGATTAGCATTTATAATAATTTTAATTAAGAGAAAAAAATAATTTGGATAACAGCAGGACCAAAACTCTAGCCCAGGCAGGTCTATGGAGGTTTGGTTCTGAGCCTGTGGAGTCAGCAGAAAAAGGAAAGATTATAAATGTCATAGGGCTAGTCTACAGTGGGAATTTACATCAGCATAGCTAGTCTCTCAGGGGTGTGAAAAATCTACACCTATGAGATGTAGCTATGCCAATCTACCCCCCTGGTGTAGAAGACCCTAGGTTGATATACAAATTCTTCCTTCGACCTACCCACCTGCTCTCAGCCCTGGTCTATACTACAAATTTATGTCGGTATAACATCACTCAGGAGTGTGACAAATCCACACCCTTGAGAGACACAATTATACCAACCTAACTCCTGGTGTATACAGTGCTATGTCAACAGGAGGGCTTCTCTCTTTGACATAGCTACCGTGTCTCAGGGTGGTGGAGTACCTTTGCCAACAGGAGTAGCTCTCCCCATCTGCATAGGTAGCATGAACATCTTCAATGATGCAGCTCTGCCACTACGGTAGACAACTCTCACGAAAGCTTATGCTCAAATAAATTTATTAGTCTCTAAGGTGCCACAAATACTCCTTTTCTTTTTGCGAATACAGACTAACAGGGCTGCTACTCTGAAACCTGTCAGAGAGGTGGAGTAACTGCAGCAACAGAACCCCTCCTATTGGCCTAGGTAGCAGCTACACTGAAGGCTACAGCAGTGCAGCAAACCTCCCTCCCTAGAGGGAGAGACATGGGGCGTAAACGATCCCACCCCCCGGCAAGCTCCTCACCTCACCCATGGCTAGAGCGTGGAGCAGGACTTCCCCCCAAATCCACTCAGGAACGGGCTCTTCCCCTCAACCCTTCCTCCCCCACGGAGGGAGGCTCCCCACTCCAACCCCTCCCACTGGCCTCCTAGCTCCCACACCCATCCCTGGCTGCCCCACACGCGACATCTTCCCCTCCCCACCAAACACTGACCCTAATCCCCACGTGACCTCCCATCCTAGAACAGGATCACACCGCCCCACTCAAACCCCGGGCTCCCATTGGTCAGCGTGAATGACGCAGGGCTCCGCGGGGCGTAAGAATAAGAACTGTGAAGGAACCCTCAGCGCACGCGCAGAATGTGCCAGTGACGGAGGTGGGGAGAGCCGTTGGATTTCTCAGCCACAGGGGGAGGGAGACGATATTTGTGTAAGAGCTGCGGCAGCAGGGCACCGACTATTGGCGGGTTCGAAGTGTGGAGTGCGCGGGGGGCGGGGCAGCGTTTGTTGGCAGCGTCGGGCTTTCCCCTCCCTTCTCGCGTTGCGGCGGTCGCTCTAGGGCTGGTCCATCAGCGAGGGGGGCGGGGGGTGAGGCGGGAGCGAGGCCAGCGACCGGACCAGAAGCAGGCCGGCGGCTGCAGGCGGCCCCGGTGCTGAGGTGAAGTCCGGCACACGGGAGAGTGGGGCCGCCCTCGGTAGAGCGGCCGTATGGGTGAGGGAGGGGGCAGGCCGGGAGCGTTGCTGGGGCAAGGCGGTGGTCTCGCGTAGAGGGTAGGAGTATATCGACTGAGGAGGCAGCAATATTGGGGGCGCCAGAGGCGCGGTGGGTGACTGAGGGGAACTCGCTGAAGGCGAGGGCAGCTGTGGGGTTGGCTGGAGGGGGGCGATGACCCGTGTGGGGGGATGAATTACTGAGGGTGGAGGGAGATGCTGACCTGAGGAGGTCGATCAGGGGAAGGTGATGAGTTGTTTCTTGAGGGTGATGAATGCAAAGACATGCATGTGATGCTCTTGGGGCAGGATGCCCCCCAGGATTCTGACGTTCGTACCGGGGGTTGCGCGCATGGCGGCTGCTGTTCCCCTGTGGGTTTTCTCTAAGCCCAGCGACCCGAAGATGGTCCATGCCTCGCTGAGAGAAGCGTGCTGGGCTCTTGCTCCCAAAGAAATAATAACTGCAGTTAACTTCGCTGCACCAACCTTGCTGTTGTGCATCAGTCCTTTCCCAATCGCAACGTGAAATCAAACCCTGCTCTAGTGGTTGATGAAGAGTCCTCTGCAGTGCAAAGAGATAAAATGTCAAGGCAAAGCAATTTGTTTGGTGCTTTAAAATGATGATTGTGCTTACTAGCACTGCAGTGTTACTTGTTTGAATAATCTAACCCATGAAATGTCTTGTTTGTTGACTGTCTGGTTTACAATTAATGTGAAAAAATGATAGTGTTTAATTCCCAAATCCAAAGGATAGTGCAGTTGTTTTAAAGTGCTTTCAGTGTTTTGTGCAGTTGTTTAATATTATATTCTGCCTTACAGAACTATAGCTGCAATCAATTTCTTATAGTCTAGACCGCAAAACAAACGCAGCAAGGGATTATGGTAGTTTCATTGCTTGGGAGGGAAAATAGTCATTTGCTGTCACCAAACCAGCCCTTTAAAAAAAAAAAATTGTTGAGGGATTAACTTCTTGATTTCTCCATTATGAGACAATAACACGATGACATCACATTAAGTATCTTGAGTCCTTACTCTTACTGGTTGTTTGAATGACAAATAGACATTAGGTCAAGGGAGAAATGAAACAACCAAGATTGTTGTTAAATATATCCTAAAACTAAAGAGAAGTGAACTATATGGACTTTGCTCCTTATGTAGTTTTTAAATTTGTTTCATAAATACATTTTAATAAATAGAAATGGAAACTTATGCTAGTTCAGGTTGTAGCAAATGTCTCTGACCTAGTCCCTCGCCCCTTAAAAAGGAGATACAGGTACTTTGGTATCCTTGCTTTTTGTTTACTCTTCTTTACCTCTTTGGCAATATAGAGCCAAACTTAGACTCCCACCTTCAAGTTGCAGTCCTCCTACTCCTAGAAGTTTCCGGCTCCTGACTGTTTGTTAGCTTTTAGCCCTCAAAGATGCATAGATCAGGTATCTTGGGGTTGCCATGGAGAGCCAGGCAACCATTTCAGAGTTCTGATGGACCTGCCAACTCTTACATCACAAAAAGACTTTTAAAGGGACACTATAAGATTACCCTAATTTAAAAAGTTGGTAAGGAAACATGTTGCGCATGCTCTGGCCTTCTCATGTCTCCATGGATCCTTAGGCTTTTCCCCTTATGTGTCTCCATGGTAGTCCTTTCCTGAACACCTCACTGGGAGAGGACACCACTACCTATAGGCTCCAGAAACACCTTTTGTATTTCTTAAAGAGAAGGCTTTCACTCTCTCCAGAGGTGTTGCATGATACACCCACACAACTGTATTCTTAAAAACAAGATCTATTAAATATAGAGAATCAGATACAAATAAAAAGTTCATAAAATCATAGAACTGGATGGGACCTCGAGAGGTCATCTAGTCCAGTCCCCTGCACTCAAGGCAGGACTAAGTATTATCTAGACCATCCCTGACAGGTGTTTGTCCAACCTGCTCTTAAAAATCCCCAATGATGGAGATTCCACAACCTCCCTAGGCAACTTATTCCAGTGCTTAACCACTCTGACAGTTAGGAAGTTTTTCCTAATGTCTGACCTAAACCGCCCTTGCTGCAATTTAAGCCCATTGCTTCTTGTCCTATCCTCAGAGGTTAAGAAGAACAATAACAGTGGTGAAGAAGAATGAAATATGTTAGGTAAAAACTTTTTGCAAATGCCCAAACAGGCTTCTCTTTTCTTTGTTACAGAGAAGAAAAGACTCTACATTCCTAAAAAGCAGGTCTCATCTCATGCACTCCTCCCCACTCCAGTCAGTGACAGCTTCTTGCTGCTGTGTCCAGAATGATCTCTAGTGTCAGTCTTGAACCCACTTATTATTTCCTGTTGATCCAGTACAGCACACCCCATTTTCTTAACTAGTTTTTTTCCAGACATGTATACACACCGTAGAAGTTGGGAGAGCAGCTGCATTCCCAACCCTTCAGGAAATGGCCTACTGGGGTGAAGAGAGCCTCTTCAGATGATTACTACTTGCCTTTAAAATGCTTCACTACTGAACTCTAGTACAGCTTTCCACAGATCCTTGTGTCTGGCTGCATCCAGTTTATCCAGTTCTTTGTTTCTTAAACATTTTGTTTCAATTTTCCTTTGCCATGAAATGTAAATTATGGACAGACTAGGCCCTCTATCACAATATTTTTCCCTTTTAGTCAATTTTACTTTGTGCACTTGACAGCAGTTGTGGTTCAGTCAGTTTCACTCTTTCCTCTATATAATTTTGTAGGCCCTGATCCTAAAATCTCACACGTATTTATCTTTAAGTACCTGAATAGCATCAGTGTTTTTAATTGGACTACTTGTATTCTTAAAGTTAAGTATGTGTAAATATTTGCAAGACTGGTACCTTTGTCATTTTTTTTCTTTGCTAGAAAGATGATTGTAAACATAAAAATTCCTGACACAACTTCTAAAGAAAAATAAAATTCAAGATATATTTTTAAAAGTTCAAGTTCAGTGTCACTGCTAAGGGACACTATCTTTCAGAAAGAAATATGATTTTTAAATTGACATTTACCTATTATTCTTATGAGTAACACACAGGATTCCTATAAATGAAAGATTAGAGACAGTATTTCTGAGGTGTTTTTTCCTGTTTTTGTCTGTGCATTTGACACTACTTCTATATTTGTGTGTACTGTTTTCTCTGTATAGTCATTCTATTTATGAAAGACGTATATAAACAGGAAGAAAATATTTTAAAAAGATAAACAAAGTCCCACAAAAACTTGGGAACAGGCATAATATCTGAAAAAAAAAATTTTAACGGATTAGCTTGATGGTGTCCTTCCCTTACAGACTAGTGTTTTCTTTTTATTTTCTTTTTATTTTTTTCCCCAATTTTTCCTTTTTAGTTGATAAACTTGTAAGTAATAGTAGTGGCAGAATATAGTTTTATTTCCTTGTTTTTGTTCTAAATTAGTACCCTTTAAGTTTCTGGGTTCTAAGGGTCCAGATTTCCAGCATATAAAATCTGAATACTGACAATATTTTGCTTAATAAAGGCTGTGTTTCTGCTCAACTGAAGTATCCTACTCTTGCTTAAGCTGATCAAGCTTTGAAAACTTATTTTGGCATATCTGGGTGAGAACTGGCTAAAATTCCCCTTCTGTTGCTTCTGTTTGGGCCAAAATCTAGTCTTGCTTTATCACTAGTGCCGGGGGAAGAAAATACCAGTGCCTACTTATTAAGTAACATTTTACAGCTATTCAGTATGATGTGAAGGTTCCTGAGATATACTTCACTTGATCACCTTCAGCTCTAATGATGTTCTCAGAACAACTTTGGAGTACTTCTGAGGAGTTTGGTAGCCTATCAAGTGACTTGGTGTGTGTGTGTGAATTGGAACTAATGGATCTGTCCCTCTATCACCTTGGAAAGATTGAGACAAACTTGGTCTCCCAACTTGATCTCCTACAACACTTATCTACATTTCTCTTCATACAGCTGCAAAAACATTCCTCTATCACCTTTGTGTTATAGCTGCATGAGCAATGGCATATTACCTTAACTATTGGTTTATGATTTTTGATAGGAGGCTGTTTAACACTTCTAGCAGCTCAGCCTAGGCTACTGTTAACAACACTTTGTGATTGTGTCCTAACACTTAACTCTGATCATGTTTGGAGATTATGGTTCTTTCTCACAGGTTGGGTGGTACCCTTAAAAGTAGATGTAGACGTACAATGAAGTTTATGTGCATGGCCTATGAATCTTCATCTGGTATTATGTTCTTAAAAAAGAACCTACTTATAGCCATGTACATTTTCAAAAAGTTTCTCAAAATCCTTTTTGGCTGTCTCCTATTTATTGCATTCCACTCCTCAGTACCTACAGTGTGTTATGCTGC